ATTATCAGTCAAGTCAGAATATGCAGCTCTATGAAGAATGTCAATGGGCTGTCCAGTGATCATTCAATATACTTTCTTTTTTGCTGATTGATTTGAACAGCTGCCAAAGCTTAGTTTGTCAGTTGATCACATACAGTGTATTGATCCTTTTTTACAAAAATCTCTTTGCACTTTACAAGATATTGTTTTAGTTACACAAGCAGCATCTAAGGCTATAGAAACTAACATATGAGCGGAGAAAAAATATGCCTACGCTCTGTGTCTTCATCTGTGTCCTGCTAATGAAGTAATTACCCTAAATGAAATGAAAATAATTACTCTGCACCTCTGCCCACACAAAAGAATGTAGAAACTTTCACAATCAATAATCTCCAGAAAATGAGCAAATGTAACAAGATTAGATCATCATGAAATTCATCAAAAGCATTTCAAGCATTGATCTGTATACACCTGTGTCCCCCTGACACATTGACTGACGATAGTGACAATCTGTGACCTCTATTCTTAATGAAGCTGTAAATTCGCTCCCAACTTTCGCCAACCACCGTTCCATGGTAGACATACTGCTAATCTCTATTCAGTTTGCTGCACTACTGCAATTATGATCATCTACAACACTAGCAGTCTTGTCAACCCTTTCGTCACCAAAGGTTTTTTTAATCCTGAATGCCCAGATCAAGTTTTACAGAATGTCCCAGAACTGGGAACACACAGTTGCGCATTCTAAGTTCTCTGCTGCAAGGTTAATTACCATTCTCATGACAAGTGACATTTTACATTTCAACTTAAAAAGGTGTATTTTGGTCCTGAAGTGGGGTTAAAGAAATATTGTACTGAGAGCATAAGGAAGCTGTCATTGCTCAATACAAGTGTGCAGAAAAGGAGCTCTGACCTTTCTCTGGGTCAGTGACTTAAGCTGGACACACACCTTACAATTATCTGCAGATTTTCTGTGGTCAGATGGAAAATGTGCAACAGATTCCTCCATCTACACTTAACTGTGTGGATGGAGGAATCTCCACTTGGGCCAATCTGTTGCACTTTTTCTATCTGACCACAGAAAATCTGCAGATAATTGTAAGGTGTGTGGGCACCTTAAGAAAGTCAACCAGCATTTTTAGAAGGTCAGTAAAGACAGCCTCTCCTGGCTTACTTTAGAGATTTTGGACATGGGCGCCAGTTGACGTGCACTGAAAATGCCGGTGTATTCCAGCTGACAGAGAGCCCGGGTCAGCACATGGACGTAAGATCTTGAACACACCGTCTGCATCCGAGATCTAAGAGACAGGTCACAGATGAAGACACAGCTGGTCTGTGCCGAGATCTTACATCAGTGCGTATGCACGGGTTTACGTAGTGCTGGCGTATACCCGCCAATAGCATCCAACCATTGACTTTAATCTAGGGCTGTACACTGCATCTGGATCTCCCTGCCAACAGGAATATGCCGGCATTTATAGTGTACGGGAGCCGGCACCAGTGTGCAAGAGCCCTTAAAGAGTAACACCAGTTTTGTTGAGAAATAAAAATCAGTCCTCTCAGCTATTTCTTGCAGTGTGCATAGATCACCCAGTGTGTTGCAGCATGTCCTTTCCAGACTGATCCCTGAATAAGAGGGTCTGAGTTCATTATAATCAGCTAGTGGAAAGTTGCAGGGTCTGCATCCCTCTGCTAGTGCTCTGCTAAATGCGGACTCACAAAGTCCGCATTTCAGTGCATTCAGCCTCTGGAACGCAAGCCGGCCGGCTCCCGGGGTTCAGGGGCGGGGCATTGAATTCAATGGCAACACAGCCACGCCCCCTGCCCGCAGTGCGATCGCCACATTAGTGTCTGCGTTCCGGTCCAGTGCGATCTGCAAAAATAGTGCTTGCAGTATTTTTGCAGATTGCACTGGACTGGAACGCATACACTAATGTGCCTGCATTCCGGGTGTGGGCAATTGCACTGCCGTGGGGGGCGGGGGGGGGGGGGGGGGGGGGGGAGAATGGCGTGGCTGTGGTGCCACCACCACTCCCCCTCTCTCCCCGGAATGCAGGGAGCTGGCCGGCTTACGTTCTAGAGGCCCAACGCACTGGAATGCGGACTTTTGTGGTGTGAATCAGCCCTAGGGAATATCTTTAAAAAAGTGAAATTCCTATTGCAAGGGATGCCTGAAGAAGTGTTACTTTTATCTTAGTGCAGACTTCTGGGAAAATTAGTCAGCCAATCACAGAAGCAGGAAGTGACATTTTTGGGGGAGTTCTGTACACTAACTGTACAGAATGCCTCCAGCTCACCATATTGCATTATGTTTTTTGACAACTTTAAAACATTACAGGAGCTGCAGTTTTAAATGGAAAGATAATTTTTAATAACATTAAATTACAAAATTGTGTGAAAATTCTACACCGATCAGCCATAACATTATGACCACTGAGAGAAGACGTGCATAACATTGATTATCCCATTACAGTGGCACCTGAAAGTGGGTGGGATATGTTAGGCAGCAAGAGAACATTTTGTTCCTGGAGTTGATGTGTTGGAAGCAGAAAACATGGGCAAGTGTAAGGATTTGAGCAACTTTGACAAGGGCCAAAGTGTGATGGCTGGGAGACTGGGTCAGAGCAACTCCAAAACTGCTGCTCTTGTGACATGTTCATGGTCTGCAGTGGGATGTTCACAGTCTGCAGTGGTCAAGACCTTCAAAAAGTGGTCCAAGGAAGAAAAACTGGTAAACCAGCGACAGGGTATTGGGGGCAAAAGCTCACTGATACATGGGGGACAGCGAAGGCTGGCCCATGTAGTCTGATCCAATACAGGAGCTGCTGTAGCTCACATTGCTGAAAAAGTTAATGCTGCTTGCAATAGAAAGCTGTCTAAACACAGTGCATGGCAGAAGCATCAGAACTGGACCACGGAGCAATGGAAGAAGATGGCCTGGCCTGATGAATCACATTTTCTTTTACATCATATGGATGGACGGGTGCATGTCTGTTGCTTTCCTAAAGGAGAGATGGCAACAAGATGTATATGGGAAGAAGGTGGAGGAAAGTGTGATGCTTTGGGCAATGTTCTACTGGGAAACCTTGGGTCCTGCCATTCATATGGATGTTATTATCCTACATACGGATGTAATGGACGTAACTCCTACATACACCTCTTCATGGAAACGGTATTCCCGGAAAGCAGTGGTCTTTTTCAGTAGGATATTGCGCCGTGCCACACTGCAAAAATGGTTCAAGAATGGTTTGAGGAACACAACAACGAGTTTGAGGTGTTGACTTGGCCTTCAAATTCCCCAGGTTTCAATCCAATTGAGCATCTGTGGGATGTGCTGGAAAAACAAGTCCAATCCATAGAGGTCCCAACTTGCAACTTCCAGGACTTAAAGGATCTGCTACTGATGGCTTGGTGCCAGATACCACAGCATACTTTTAGAGGTCTAGTGGAGTCCATGCCTCGGGATGGGGCTGTTTTAGCGGCAAAAGGGGGACCAGGGCTGTTTTAGCAGCAAAAGGGGGACCAACTCAATATTAGGTGGTGGTCATAATGTTATGGCTGATTGGTGTATATGCTACGGTATATTCATGTTAGCCCTTAAGGTAAAATGTACTTAATGTTATCACAGTTATAGATTCCAGTAAATGTACAAGGCCAGATGTGTGAAGACTCTGGTGTAGTGTATGATACATTGAACTTAAGTTTGCCATACACTTAAAGATTTTTCTTTTTTGGGCCTGTGGGCTGTACAAGAGAAAACACTTGATTAACCATGCACATTAAAGTGCATGTGAGGACAAATCTCCTGTGCTTGCCATTGTATTCTGACAGGTAGCACTTGCGGCCTTAGAATATTCGAACAATGACAGCAGCTGGAAAACATAAAGCAAAAAGGAGCGCCTCCATAGTGTAAACCAGTATTTAATAAAAAGAAGGCACACAGCTGGGGCTGTACTTACAAACAACTGTAGAACACAGGCATATAACAAGGATGGGTAAACAAAATCACGAACAAAGACGAGCTGGAGTATTGATGTTAAACCAGAGTCTTCTGCCCCCAAGTATTCCACAGGTTAACATGTTTTAGAGGCAACGTTCCCTTCATCAGAACCTGCAGTCACTGTTCAGCCTACAAATATCCACCCGGCTCCTTTGACAAAAGTCGATGAAGAATCATCTTTTGTTGAGGTGGGTAGTGCCAGCAGGGCTGCCCACAGATCGAATTTGGGCTGATTCGCCAGGAAACAGCCAAAATTCGATTTGAGTGTTGCCAGTTTTAGTATGGGCCTTGAAGTCATTTTGTTGACTTCTAACTCTAGTGGTCAGAAGGGAATTTTCTTTAGATGGAAATATAATAATAGTATTATTATTATTATACAGGATTTATATAGCGCCAACAGTTTGCGCAGAACTTTACAATATAAGGAAGACATTACAGTCACAATACAATTCAAGACAAGATGGTAAGGAGTGCCCTGCCCCTGAGGGCTTACAATCTAAAAGTAATCTAATAATCTCTTCCTCATCCTCCAGGGAATAGTTATATGTCTGTATACAGCCCAGACCTCCCCAGATATACACTTGCCTACTTAGGGATGAATATATAGAATTGGTTGGATTTTACCATCCAATCAGGTTACTACTATTGTTCCTTGAGATATGGTAAGGCAGCGTCAGCGATGCCTGTTTAGTGCTATGACTCTCCTTCAGAGGTGTGAACAAGCACAGTCATTGTTCCAAATATGCACAGATGTGTTGGTGGTCACATTGTGCCTGTCCATCTGATGTATGCATGCAGCTTAAAGGGAACCTGCTGCAAAAAAAAATAATACTGCCACCTAGTTGATAAATCACAGTTGGTTTTGCACAGGCTGCCAGCTATTTCCCTCGAAGCCTGTGTCTGAAATACCCCTTTAGGCTGATGACAAAAAAAGCTAAATGTAACAGTCCCGGGCTCAGCGGCCCAACTTTCCTTTGCACCCTCTTTAAGATGATGTGCTAAAAATCTTCCGGAGCGCTGATCATATAATGCGTATTCTCAAGTTTCTTTCAAAAGGTTCATTTTCACCAAGGGTCAATGGGTTGCCTTGTAAACTGAAAAAAAAAGAACAAAGCATAAAACAGGCCGGATTTACAATTCTTTCTAGAAATTCAATATGTCACATAAAAACATATCACACAGTTCATTCCAAATGACAAAAGTATAACTCTTTATAGCTGACTGGATATAAATGACTCGCTGCTCTACTTATAGATTGACCTAAGCCTCCTTGAACTTAAAAGTTGAAAGAAAACACTTGATCTTCTGCAGGATCAGGGCCTTCATGTTATCAGCAATCTTCTGCAGGATCGAGGCCTTCATGTTATCAGCAATCTTCTGCAGGATCGAGGCCTTCATGTTATCAGCAATCTTCCTAGAGGCCCCTTTTTCTGGCTCGTTTCTCCTCTACCAGTGGTGGACAGAGAACTTGAGCCCAGAAAGGCTTTTTATTATAACCTTTTTAAGGCCTACCCCCTCCTGCATCCCAAGAGGGTTTAAAGCTAACAGCCAAAAATACATACATCTAAGAGTTACCCTAATCTCCCATGTACCAGATATTTTTCAATGGTATGTATTTCAATAGTGCTGGGGAGAAGACGTGACAAAGCCAGATACAGACCTACACCCAGGGATGCATCCAAGGACGCACATATTGTAGCAATTCTAAATGGTCTTTGGTGTGTAATCCACATAATAGCTTCATTTCATAAAGAGACCCTGTAACACTTTGTAAGATATGGGCTTAAAGAGACCCTGTTAGGTCCCTTATAAAATATAAATGACTCATCTGCAGTAGAAGAGGAAGTATACTCACATCTCCAGCAGCTTGTGTCTCCTACCTTCCCTCAGTTCCAGAGCTGCACCCCATCAGTCTCTTCAGCACTGAGCACTTCTTGGGGTATTGGATACCTGTGTTGCACGGCACATGATAGGATTCCAGGCTCTGAACCCTATGTCACTACAGGACAGAGCAGTAATGTAGGGTTCAGATAGTTAGAGCCACAGTCCACAAAGGAGGACATCGGCATTATAGACTTTCAGGGGTATCAGATGCCTAAGAGACTGACGGAGGCTGCAGCGCTGGACGGAGACAAGGTGGGAGACACAGGCTGCTACCCATTCTATTGCTGGGCATTGTTGTTTTCAATTTAGGGATCTGACAAGATCTTTTTAAACACATATTACAAGTGGTACATTAATACAGTTTGAAAGGAAAGCATTGCAAAGTTGGAACTCCCTTTAAATTGCGTTGCAAGCCATTTTTTTCAGTTCTGTATGGAGTAGAAGCAGGAACTGCCTTTTTTTGCCATCAAAGCTACATGTCTATATTCTTCACATGGAAAAAAAATAGTATTCTTGTACACATAGTAAAATCCTTTGCTTGCAGTCCATTGAGGGACACACAAAAAGTCTTAAACCTTCAGGTTCTACTGCTGCTTATAGGAGGATCAGTAACTGGCAAACAAGACCTGCTGGCAGCCGTACAATTCTGGAAAATAGTTACCTGATGCCGAAAAGCCCAAGAGGCGCTCACAAACCTAGTGAAGTGAGTCTTAACAGGCAATTGGGAAAATGGATCCTTAACACTAAGGCCCCATTCACACTGAGCGATTTATCGTGCGGTAATTCCCGCGATATCGCGGCTATTTACCGCGCGATATCGCACTCCAATGCATGGCAATGGGGCTCTGTCCGTCGCTGTCGCGGGTCGTGCGTCGCTACAGCAGGACCCTTTTTGGAGCGGATTTTGAAGCGATTCTAGCTTGCTCAATGCAAGCATTTGCGCGATATCGCACGACAAACGCGTGATATCGCACGACAAACGGCAAATCGCGCGACATACGCGCAATTTGTGAATCACTCAGTGTGAATGGGGCCTAAGTGTAAACGATGGTCTGTCTGAACTACCTATACATGTTGGAACAAGAAGCTGAGACACCCTTCCTGTGCCAGTATGGAATGAGAAACAGTGACTCAGTGTTTTGAAAGAAGCAGAGCTGAAAGACTCACACCGCCTGAACCACATCTAGACAATGCAGGGAATGTTGCTGTTCATGAACCTTCGCAGGATAAAAGGGCCAAGAGATCAATGTCCTGGTTAAGGTGAAAGGCAGAGACTACCTTGGGCAAAAAGGACATCCACGCCATCTTGTCCCCAAGCAAAACCAAAAAGGGTTCTCTGCAAGATAAGGCCACCAGTTCAGACACTCTCACCACAAGGCTATTTCCTTGTAGCTATTACCTCTGCAAGGAGAGTAGAGAGCAGAATGTCTTCTAACAGGTTTAAACCGCGGCTTCTGGAGCGCAAAGTGAACCAAATTAGGATCACACAGAGTCGCAGGGAAACAGACAAGGGGAAATCACATGAGAGACCCCTGCACAAAGGTGATTTTTCAAAAGGAGGTTGCCTTAAAAATGGGAATGTCATGAGAATGCAACAGGGCCATTACGGAACCAGTACCCTGGTGAACACCCAAGGTGCTGAAGAAAGGCTGAATGGCAGGGCTACAAACTGGTAGTGCAAAGCCCCAACAGCAAACCTCAAAAAAACATTGGTGCACTGGAACTGACACATGCAAGCAAGCATCTTTTATGTCAACAAAAGTTATAAAGTCTTCTTAATGAGGGGAAACAATGACAGATCTGGTCAAGAACATGCAGAATTTGTGGACCTGAATGAAGACATTGAAGGCTTTGAGGTCCAGGATGGGGCAAATGCTCCTCTTAGGTTTTGCAATAGTGAGAAGACTGGAGAAAAACCCCTGGAACCTCTTCGCAACTGGGACCGGAGCTATGACACTTTAGTTTAGAAGGCCTGAGAGAGCCGGATGGAGATCTGCCAGTTTGTGAGGAGACACAGGAAGGAAGGAAGCTAGGAGGGGGCAGGGAACGACTCAGGTTTGTAGCCCCGGGACACCACCTCTTGCTCCTAAGCATTCGGAACACAAGATGCCTAAGCTTCTGCAAAGGCCAAACAGATGCCTCCCAACTCTGGAAAGTGGGGGCACACCTTCATGTCGTTGATGGCTTGTCTGAGGAATTGGCAGACTTGGAGTGCCAGACTTTGCAGGTGAATGGGAAGCCAAGCTCGAAGGGCCCCCATGCTGAAGGTGAGGGAGTGGAGAAATGAAAGGGATGCTTCAACAAGGGAAACAACTTCTCAGTCTGCTCCTTAGGCTTTTCTGGTGGGGAAGATTTGTGCTCTTACCAACAGTACTATCCTTGATGAGGACATATAGGGCTGGTTTGAAGAGCAACTGCCTCTTGAAGAGCAGGTGGGATCAAATGCTTTTTACAAGATGGCTCTGCAGTCCAGCACTTTAGTCAAAGTGCCCTATGCATAAGCACCGACAGGAGACGCATGCGTAAAACAAGGTGAGAGACTTCCAGTAAGCCAGCACAGCTAAAATTCAATGCCACAGCTATCTTTACAATGGGAAGAGGGTCAATGGCAATGTGGCTTAAATCACTTTTAAGGGATTTTATCCAGTTAGACATGGCCTGACAAAGTAAAATCACCACCAGAATCAGATGCAATATGGGACCTGCCAGAGAGAACAGAGTTCTTGAGAGAGCTTCCAACTGTATATCAGTTGGGTCTTTAAATGCAGGTGGACCTCCACCAAAATAGGAGCTGCCTTGTTAAGGGGAGATATGGCTACATTCAAAGGTGAGACAGACAACAATCTACACCAAATGGATACACGGCCATCAAATGCTTAGGGGAGCAAACAACCTATCAGGACACGCCCAATCTTTGTATAGCAGCAGTTAGAAAACGGTATAGAGGGAAAGACTTTGCTGCCTCAGGGTCCCTATATGACCCAGGGCTACAAAAGGAAATTGGTAGAAGCAACAGGCTGATCCCCTAGTTTTAGGGTGGTACCCACTGCACCAGAAAGGGATGAAACAGTCTTTTTTTTAGATTTGGCCAGTGGTGACTAAAGCCACAGTAGAGGGGTAATAGAGTCAGATTGAGGATCAAAGTTCCATGTGGCTCTTTGCAACAGGAGTAGCAGTGGGGAGATGCTTTCTTGACACTGTATGGTGGGAAAAAGATCACAGAGCACCTGCATGTGACACTCCACCCAGCGGATTATATCAGTGCCACAGTATCAACTCCTTCCATAGAAAGCTGCCAGGAAATGGGAAAAAATGGTTGTCAGTAACCAATAGAAAATGAGAGCTCCTGGTGCTCTGCCTGACTAGCCTACTCACTAGGTGAGTCTTCAGGGACAGGATAATGTCTATGGCTCTGGACCTGGAAAATGTCCCATAGCTAACTGAACCAGAACCAAGTCTGGAAAGACATGCTGGTAGTGGGAGGTGTTATTCTGGGCTGGTGTACAGTTTTTTTGTTCTGTTTTCCAGTGTCCAATCCTACTGCAGGCAGGAGCAAAATCCAAAAGTTTAAGGCTTCCTGTGTCCTCAACAGACAAGGAAATAAAAATATTTTGGCTTGTCATATACTTTGAAAGCACCTGAATGTCATGTACTGTCTGTGGCCACCCTAGAGCCTGTGTCAACGGACATTTGTTTGCTTTAAAAAAGTTGAACCTTCCCATACAAGTCTATGGGTAGGCAAAACTCGTTTTAAGCAGGCCAGGTCAACTGCAGGTCAAATGCACCTGTCAATGAATTCTGAATAATCTCAGAAGCAGCTCAATCTGATGTCATCGACACAAGTCTAAAGCCTGTCGACACAGAGCCTAAAAGTACATAAGCCTGTTTTTGGGCATAATCACGTGTTTTTGGCCCCCATAGACTTCAATGGGCGAGCCTAAAAAGGAGCATAATGTGCAGTTTTGCGCCTAACAACTTTTTACTCCTCCTAGTAACTAGTGCATTTTTCAGGCTTAAGCATTTTTGTTTTAGCCAATGAAAAGCTAAACACAAACTTTACAATTGTCTGAAAATGCTCACGAGCAACTGTGAACTGCTGGAACTGATTTTAAAGTTTGATTTAAGCTGCTTCAAGCTTGCTGAAAGATCTTTGTAAAACGTGCTGCACACACTGTTCTTTCACAAACTGAAGGCTATGTGTACAATGCTTTAATATCAGCATTGTCTAGGTGCATTGTGGGTCAGTAATTAGCACCGCAAACTACATGGATGTTATATTTTCCCCTGAGATTTGGGTAGACTGGGTAAACTATCTTTTACCTCTCAGGGACACTGCAGCGAGGGTGCCTCTTCAATCATTTTCAGCTCCACCTCACTGTTGTGGTCATTAAAAAGCCAAATCATGTTGCAACTTGCCCCCAATCCATTTTCCTTAATGCAGAAATTTAAAATCCACTTGTGAACGGTGCCTTTATTATGGCCTCCCTTGTGGGGGACGCAAACAAATAAAAGAATATGCCACTAAACTTGAAATAGATTATAAAAACTTGGTGGAGATTTAACCTATCGGAGTGCACCCAAAACAGAAATAACAGCTACGGTGGAGTTGGCATCTAATGCCATCTGCAATACAGGTCAAGATATCACATTGTGAGCTTTGCAATTTCTCTAGCATGACTAGAATGTGAGCTATTGAAGTTCATAGCTTATTATTTTATATACAGCATGTTTACACTTCTTCCTCATCACATAAATAGTAACTTTCTGTCATTCTTCTTGTGCAAGTAATTTCATTGAGTCATGGGAGGTTAGCTACACCCAGCAGGATGGCAGTTACCATGGAAATAGCTGCTGGTCTATTGATAATATCCATATCTACTATATGAGTCTCTGTCTGCATACACACAACACTTTGACCCTTACCAAATCTCTTCCAGAACAGTGTTATCTTCTAGAGCTTCGGCTAACAAATTGGCTCCATGATTTGTGATGTTGTTATTCTGTAGCCTGTAAACAGTAATAAAGTAATAAATCAGCAAACGTAATAAGCTAAGCAAAATGTAGTGGCTATCAGGCATTTGGGTGAGGCAATGTAGAAAGTAATACACACCAATATATCATGGCACCAGAAATCATCTCTTACATGTCTACAGCAAACGGACATCTACTTATTTACGATGGGTTATCGCACATTATCTCCCATTATTTTCAGGCAACCAATCAGATTTATCTTCTTTTACTGTACTGACAATAGTGAACCAAAATCTGGTTTATGTGTTTCCTGCAGTTTGAGAGACCTACCTAACCAGGAAATTTAATGTTAAATGGCAGAATGAATTATGGCTTCAAAAGTTATAGGCTGCAGCTTATCAAATCCACTAATCCAGAATAACAAAGACCATAACTTGAGATAGAAAGCGTGTCCTCCCAATCATACCATCATTTTCAAACATGATGTCATAGCACTCATTATGCTCACTACTACCGACTATGGAGGCATCTGAGAGGTTATACTGAGGCATGTATAGGTGGACACACCTGAGGACTTTTTTCCCCCCAGTTTTGAGTAGAGTAGGGAAGGGAATAACACTCTAAACAGTGAATGTGGTTTTTGTTCCAGAAACTCCATTCATTTAAAAATCGCATGGTTGCAGACAAGACTGGGAAGGATGATGTAGAGAGGTTTTCATTCATCACTGAAGAAGAAAATCCCCCCCATGCACAGTGAGCTAGCACAAATGTCATCGGGTAGCAGTAGAACATCTCCCATCCGATCAGCGGCCAGCATTAGTCAGAGGGAGAATCAGTTGTCAATCGATAACCCAGACGCTCTGATCTGAGGGGAGTTGTCGAGACTTCACAAGAGAGAGAAGAGAGTTTTCTTTGGAGATCAGCGGCAGCAGCAGCAAGGGCAGACAAAATGCAAGCACAGGGTCCGGTTAATAAATAAAGGACTGTGTGGCAATAATCATTAACCTCCTCTACCCTTATCTGTGCTAAGTCTGGTCACCAGATAGTAACCTGGGCTAACAGAGTGCAGGAAGATCACATGTCCGACTCCAGCACCTCCAAAGTGTGCCTGGGACTTCTCATAGCCCATAGATTGTGCTGGCTGTCAGAAAGCCTCAAAGAAATACCGTAAATAAAAACCCAAAATAATGAGTGAAGCAGACACCCCTGCCTCATCTCTCTGCTTATCCTGGGGATCCCGCAGTTTAGATGCTTTCCATTTACGGGAATGGGGCTGTAATGGAGGTGCTTAGCCAGCAGAAACAAAAGTGTCAGATCCAGCAAGGTAATAGGCAGGTCTAATCTGTAAATCTCCCCCTGCCCAAGTGACCTAAAGAAAGTGCGATTTTCCAGCAGCCATGAGGTTAAAGTCCATCAAAAGCAAAAACTTGTTTTAATGGGTTAGAACACCTGATAGTTTTTTTTAAATACCCTGTCTCCAAAATTGTTGTCACAAGAACAGGAACAGAAAGGAAATCCTCTTATTTTGTCACTTGTTCTAGTGACAACTTGAGGGGTTTTGCCTTTGGAAGGATTTTCTCTCACTCCCTGTTGTGTCTACGGTGTAGAATTAAAGTGGCCACATTAGGTTCTTTTTCCAGACTTTTTCCTCCTAATGTTTACCTGGCAGGATTACTGGCATTACATCTCTGTGGAAATGTTCATCATCTCCATAACATGGGGGGGGGGGGGTGTTCTGTAGTTCACCGAGGTAAACCTGATCAACTCCTCAGTGAGAGAACATGTAGAGTGGAGTTTGATGATGTACACACAGTTCAGAAGTGACATGAACAAAATGTCCAGGACTGTCCAGGATTGGATTAGCACAGGAATGGCCAAGTCTAGGTTACCAATACAGAGACTACCTCCTGCTAATATCCTATGTGCACACTACATCTGTACTTTTCATGTGTATGTCATTCATTCATTCCAATTGATTTTGATTCATTTTAATGTAGTTTGTTCATTACAGTTTTATGTGTCACTTTTTGCACGATTCTTGGTGACATACATGGAAGCCTAGAAGTGCGCTTTATTGACACCTGAGAGGATTATTCACACCATTTAGTTGGGGAGAAGTGCGGCTGACACTGTTAATATAAGTTAGTAGAGGTCCATTACAAGAGTCCAATGCCACTGCATAAGGGTGCCCACACACCTTACGATAATCGTACGATAATCGCGGGAAATCCCGCGATCGTAAGATTATCGTAAGGTGTGTGGAAGCCGTGCGACCTCTACTACTGTAAGGTCGCACAACTTCTAACTTACGAACATGTTCGAAAACCCGCCGAGCGGGTGTGTAGGATGTTCGTACGATAAAAGCCGGACGGGCCAGTGTGCGCAAGCGCACACTGCCCGTTCGGCATTGTGGTCATCGGAAGCCCGCCCCTCAGGGGGGGCGCGGCTTGCGATCATCGCAAGTACGATCTGCCTGTACAAAATAGGCAGATTGTACATTTTTCTAAGTACCTTACAACCATCGCAAGACAAAAGTCTTGCGATGGTTGTAAGGTGTGTGCCCAGCATAAGAAATGTCAGCTGGAGTGGAGTCACCAACACAAACAGGTTTGTCATTTTGAGCGGACACTATGGTTTGATATTGTTTTAAATGTGTATGGTGTTACACATTTAAAAACGGGAATATAGTAGAGCAATCTATGATATTGCTATTACAGCAGTTATTGTGGTACCTATAAATGCATTTAAAATATGTTCGTCCATACATTAGGTATTATTTGTATTCAATATTTTGAGGGCTCCTTCATAATCACTGTGGAGGTTTTTTTTAAGACTTTATAGGGTGGATATACAATTTCCATTATGTTTAATACAATAAAATTATATGATTTCATACAGGCGGTGCAGCTGATTGTTTGCAAGGGGATTTGTGGTGGTTTTAGATAAATAATTTCTCTGGCTAACATACATGCTGGTGCAGTCTAAGAGTTCTTATTGTAAACACCCTCTGTACTGTTGTTTGATATCTCACCAAAGATGTCGAAGTGTCTTGTTCACTCGTAGCATTTGAGCAAAATGTTCAGCTACCTCATCCGTGAATTTGTTCTGCATAATCCTAGGAAAGAGGATATGTAAAATGCCACCAACAATTGAAATAGGGAACATATGATCTTCTATATAAGTCAGCAACAAAAGTAAATTCAGTCCAAGGAAGAAAGGTGCTTGTGTTAGGTCTGTATGAGCTGCTTTGCCCAGACAGACAGAAAGCTGCTCAATCAATCTGACTGAAAGAAGGTGCATCGAGGAAGGGGAAATTGAAGACTAAACCAATAGGTACTTCTGAAAGTCTGAATTACAACCCTTCACATGGTCTCTGCAATGAGAATATATTTATCGGGCAGCTTTCTCTTTCCTTTTGGTAGGTCTGCTTTTTTTCTCCTTAATCAGGGTTTGGGTAGGGGGATATATACGATACTTGTACTACTACTTGCATATGTCTGCAAGGGTTCTCGTTTATCCAAGTCATAATATATCTAGTAGCAGCTGGACACATTCAGCTGGACTTGTTCTGTAAAGTTGAAGATGTTTCGCTACTCATCCAAGCAGCTTCCTCAGCTCTTATGAGTGTCAGGAGCAAACCTTCATACTTCATCATGTTCTTAAACATCAACATCTGCCTTGACACATTCCATGGTGACTGGATCAGAGTGAAAATCATTGGTGGGGTATGTTCCTGACACTCATTTGAGCTAAAGAAGCAGCTTGGATAAGCTGCAAAATGTCTTCAACATTAAAGACCAAGTCCAGTTGAATGTGACTAACTACAACTAGGTAAAGCTGATACACTGTCTTCTGTCTGATCTAAAATTTGGCTTGGGGTCTGAAAAGCTTGATAAATATGGAGGCTGCCATTGCCAACCTCCTTCTGAAAATACAATGCTTGTATCCAGGCTTCTTAATGTCTAAAGCCAGGTATACACTCTTCAACTTTTGTCCGGTTCTTGATGAACCGGCCTAAATTTGCTGCGTGGGTGTGGCTGTTGGCACCCCTTAGTCGGCTGGTCGAAGGAGCCCGTTCACATTCTCAGCCTAAAGTTGCTAGCTGCCAATGAGCTACTAGCTCCGTTCAGGTATTCGGACAGTGGCTGCTGTCAGAATACAAAGTATATGCTCATAAATGTTGATGGAGGAATCTGTTCTATTTTTTGGGTAGAACCGTGTATATACCAGTCTTAAGTCACTGGCCAAGAATAAGCATACAGCTACCGTAGTAGATTTGGGGAAAGTCAGGTGACATGATACGCATAACTGTTCCAGGATAGCAAATTAACTATTTCATCCTTTGAATCAAATTAACAACCAAGAAACTGGCATTTTTAAAATTAAGGTTCACCAACAGCAGTACAGGTTAGCTTTAAAGTTTGGCTGCCTGACTCCTGAGATAAGCAGCTAGATTTTCTACTTTATGGTCTTGTTATCAGAATAGATCTAAAACTGCCATGATTTCTCAGGTTGATTGCCCCATGTATGGATAACACAACTCAATTAAGGAAAAGTAATAAACATCATATAATATTTACCAGAATACTTTAAGGGAGTTATTTTCCTTTAAAGCATTAGCAATGCTTATGCCTCCAGCAACAGAAATTTCATTGAAGGTCAAACTGCGAGGAAGAAATACATTTTGCTATGGGTTAGAGTACACACAGAGAGGTATAGCTGTTGAACTGTGATCTTACAGCAGTGCTCAAAACTAGGGATGCACCGATACTGCTATCTGTGCAGATACTGGGCATTTTCACAAGAATAAATGCCCTGATACTAAGTGACGATACCGGCACTTAAAATTTTTTAAATGGGAGCGGCTGCCTGAGGTCCCATGCTTGCTGGGGACCCCAGCAGCCTTCTTGTAAACTATGCGGTGCCTGTAAACCACGCGGCCGGCATATCTCCTCCTCCCTCCCTTCCTTATAGAGCTGTTCTATGAGAATTCTTGACCGACCGCACATCTCCTCCTCTTTCCTGGAATCACATCACCTGCACCCACCCACGAGACCATCGGGACACCTGGTGAGACCCTGCACAGCCCACCTGAGACCCCACACAGCCCACCTGGAACCCGGGAAACATCAGGCCACCATCCCGGAGCAACAGAGTATGTAGCTTCATATTATTCTGCATTGCTTTATAATGTAGTGCTGGGATTTGTAGTCTTATATAGCTGGTGGTGTTCTGCATTGCTTTATAATGTATTGCTTGGATTTCTAGTCCTCTATAGCTGATGGTAGTATTCTGCATTGCTGTATAATGTATTGCTGAGATTTATAGTAATCTATAGCTGGTAGTAGTATTCTGCATTGATTTATAAGGTATTGCTGGGATTGGTAGTAATCTATAGCATGTGGTGTTTAGCATTGCTGTATAATGTATTGCTGAGATTTGTAGTCCCTTCAAACCTTAGAGTCAGTGGCAGAACTACCAGGATTGCAGCGGTCGCAGCATTGACAAGGCTCTTGCACTCTACCACTGTCCTAAAATCATTAGTCTGTATTGTTTTAGAAAAACTGTCACATGACACTAAAAAAAAAAAAAAGTATCAGTAATTGGTATCAGCGAGTACTTGAGAAAAAGTATCGGTACTCATACTAATAAATAAATAAATGGTCACAGTGCTTCCCTACCCAAAACATAATTTTGCGGTTTTGTCTTTGTAAAAATATGGCCTACAATTGTGTTAAGAAAGGTAATGGTTATAACAACAAAATGCAGGTTTCTAAACAGATGTCCTCATTTCTGTATAATCTACATGTACAGAATAAAAGCATCCTAAAATAACAATCTGTAATATTTAAAGAGCCCTTAAAAGGACAGTACAGTCAGAGGAACCTCTAGGTGAAAATGCAGAAGGTGGCCAAGATTTGGGTAAAGCATCAATAGGAACTGTTAGTTACATACTGCCTCTATCTGTATTTGGCACTGTACAGACATACCAGAGCACACGTTAATATTCCTCATCAGCATAAAACAAGGTTGTATTGTTTTAAAAAAACTGTCACATGAAAATAAAAAAAAAAAAAAAGTATCAGTAATTGGTATCAGCGAGTACTTGAGAAAAAGTATCGGTACTCATACTAATAAATAAATAAATGGTACCAGTGCTTCCCTACCCAAAACATAATTTTGCGGTTTTGTCTTTGTAAAAATATGGCCTACAATTGTGTTAAGAAAGGTAATGGTTATAACAACAAAATGCAGGTTTCTAAACAGATGTCCTCATTTCTGTATAATCTACATGTACAGAATAAAAGCATCCTAAAATAACAATCTGTAATATTTAAAGAGCCCTTAAAAGGACAGTACAGTCAGAGGAACCTCTAGGTGAAAATGCAGAAGGTGGCCAAGATTTGGGTAAAGCATCAATAGGAACTGTTAGTTACATACTGCCTCTATCTGTATTTGGCACTGTACAGACATACCAGAGCACACGTTAATATTCCTCATCAGCATAAAACATCGCCCCTATTATCACCATAATATGATCCACCAACATTGCTGTCATAATTTCAACACTAGTACCCACCCCAGTACAGTATTTATATTCCCCACTTCTTACTAGTACCATAATAATAATAATACCATAAAATATTCCCCTCCATCAGAGCTATTATAATATTCCCCACCCTCAGTGCCATTATAATATCCCCAAATACCAATACCATAATAAAGTATTCCTCACCACTAGAAAAATAATATCATCCCACATCACTGGAAGCATATTATTATTCTGCATTATCAGTGACATAATAATATTCTCTACCACCAGTACTGCAATAATAATTCCTACCACCAGTACTATACTAGACACCCCCCCCTCCAAACAGTTTAACAATTTCCCCCATTGCCTGTATCATAATAATCTATATCAATATAGTACACAGTTTATAAAGTGTATAGCAGGTAAATTTCCCTGTTAAGAAAATGCAAGGCCTATAGGAACCCGGGAGCTGGCTCTGCCCACCAGCCTGACCCTCTAAAGAAGTGTTCAGATACACTAGGGACAATGAAAAATAGAACTGGCTTAGTCAAAACCACATTACAAAGCATAATACGATGGAGATAAACCTTAGATCGCTCAAACTTGGATGATTCCTCAGAGCCTCTGCAAAGGCCACTGCCCCTTCATCTCCAATACGATTACCCCACATCCTGCAAAAGACAACAGTTCAGTGTCAATGTAAAAAATATGCACCTGTTTCTTCATAGTAATACTTTAGTGCTAAAAAAAAAATTGTGTTGATTAAATATTTCTATTTGGCCCCTTATTTCTGACTCTGAATGGTCAGCTAGAGAGAGTCAGGAATCAGCAGTCACCTGAACACAGACAGTTAAAGGAGAACTATGGGGTTAAGGCTTTTCCCCATAGTTCTCCTTAGGGTAACGGGAGGACACAAACTAGCATCCTCCCGTCACCCTAGGCTCGCGGTATACTGAGACGCCGCAGCTGAAGTGGATCCTGACAATTGTGCCGGGATCCGCCCAGCTGTGTGACTGACAGCTGGCTCTGCCTATCTAGAGGCAGAGCCAGCTATACCCGCCCCCTCCCTCGTCAGTTCCGCCAGTCAGCGATGGCCAATCGGAGCGGGGAGGGGGGAATCCAGAGAGGTGAACGAACGCCGGTATGTGTTCGCTCCCTTCCCGATCTACTGAGCCGACCTGTGACAGTCTCATTGTCACAAGTCGGCTAGAACTATGAGGTGAGGGAAAAGCACTCACCTCATAGTTCTCCTTTAATCTTGTCTACTGTCTGACCTTATACACAGTCTCCCATCTACTAAGTGTACCTCACAGCACCAAAAACAGAGCCCTGTAGTTGCAATACATAGCTCTGTTGTTTAAATAGACAAGGTCACTTTGCCCATGGAGGACAAGGTGACAGTGTCTGTGTAAAAGGGCTCACTCCAGACCCCTTCCTCTGGAGTACCTGGCACTACAATTTGAAGTCTCACCTGGTGTCGGAGACTAGGGGAAGCAGTGATATGGTGGGCATTCATCCCTGAATGGGCAAGGTGACAGTGTCCCTTTAATACCAATATGCACACTTGGAAACTTGCATATGGAGGTCATCAAATTAATGGGCAGCAACTCCCAGACTTTAGGTGACCTCCTGACTTCCAAGCTGAACAGTCAGACCTAGACAAACTAACATTATCTTTCTTGCATAAGTACTACCCACTTCTCTTTAACAGAAAATGTATACTGTCCAAGCAAGTTAAATCAGAACTCCAAACAAAACAGATTTTCGTAATTAGGTTGTACTAAAAGCAGGAGACATGTAACAACATCCATCTTATATGTATTTTATGTATGGGTGACATTTTGAAGTCATGTTCAGAACTGTTTACTTACCCAATGTCATAAATATTGGGGTTCTTTTGTAAGGCCTGTCCAATACATGCACCTCCAACAGCAGTTAACTGATTGCACCCCAGCCTATAAAAAAAGCGAACAAAATATATTTTGGGTATCTATTAAGTAACAATGGATCATGCCCTTGACAAAATACCATGTTTTTAGATTTCAAATGTGATGGTATGTTCCCTAATGAATTAAAACTGAACAGTTACATTTTGTAGGATGGTGCAAAGCACATTGAAAATTGGTAATGTAGAGTAACCCATAATTAAAACAGGAGTTTTGTCTTACCTGTAAAGTCTGTTTCTTGAAGTACATCACAGGACACAGGGAGTTAATGCCAGAACCAACGGGTTATGCAGCTACCTTGAGGTGATTGGACACTAACAAATCAAACTGTCATAACAGCCTTTTATAATCCTTTCCACCCCCAGCCTGTAGCAAGCAGTACAATAGTAGAAAAACAGAGGGGAGGGCCGTGTGATGTACTCCAAGAAATTGATTTTATAGACAAGGAAAAACTACCGTTTCTTGAGTGTACATCCAGGACACACATGGAGGTAATTCTGGAACCAATGGGACTGCCAAAAGAAGACCAGCAGAGGGGCAGACTACGCAGCAAACAAAGGCTTACAAGCAAACCTCAGCAGGGAACTACAACAGAAGGGGACCACAATTCAGAGGGCTGCCTGAAAGACTTTGGCCAGAAGCTGGCATCTGCTGAGGCCTGAACATCCACCTGGTAAAACTTGGCAAAAGTGTGTACAGAGGATATGGTTGTAGCCTTGCAGATGTGGGATACTAAAACCTGATGCTTTAACGTGCAAAAAGCACTAATCCTTCTAGTAGAGAGAGCCTTTAACAGGAAATGGGATAATTTTACCCTTCAGTTCAAAGGCCTGAGTGATGGTTCGATAAACCCTTTTAGCGATAGTTATATTAGAAGCCGCCTGCCCCATACGGGGACCTACAGGAATGAAGAGGGAGTCAGACTTGCATATGAACGGCCTTCCCTAGGAAGTGAGAGGTAAGTGTCGCTGGAAAAGAATTGCTAAAGCAGAAATTTGATCCTTGATGGTACTCAAGGCTAAATGCTGGTCTAGGCCAGACTGGAGGAAAGAGAAGATGCATCTAATGCAGTCATTTCTGTGATGGAACTTTCTTGCTTCGAACCAAGCTAATAAGGTTTCAGACTCATGGGGATGATAGAGACTGAAAGGCCTCTGTCCTCCAGGAGCTGGGCTTCAACAGCAAGGCCATAAAAGCCATCGACCAAGAAGCAGTGTGGAACACTGGACCATCCAGAAATGATGACTACTCCGGCATACCAGTCTCCTGGAACATTTGGAAGCAATACGGGACACTGGAATGCCCTCAGTCTTGCCCTCTTCCTGCAAAGGAAGCAAGGCAAGAATTTTAGAGGAACTTATCCCACCAACCAAGGCATCCACTGCACAGGCCTGGGGATCCTTGGTCCTGGGTTCAAACTTGTCCAGTTTGTTGTTGAAGCTGGATGCCCGGAGGTCCACGTCCGGCAGTTTGCTTCTCTTTGAGATGGTGCCTGTTTATTAAGCCATCAACCGTAACTGAGGGGTCCAGCGTTGAAGGGACAACCAAATTGCCCTTGCAATATTTATCAGGAGTTGAGATTAGTCTGTTGACCAGGTCCCTTAAACTAAAAAAGGTTTCATAGGACATCACGACAGATGCCAGCCTGTCAGTCTCGGTATTTCACCTTCCAGACATTGGGAGAAAGGATTTCCCCTGATTTCAGAACCGGTTGGAGATACACCATGCCAGGACAAGCTTTGTCTTGCTGGAAAGGCAAATGGGGAGGTCCAGAGACGGAATCTGTTTGTCCCAAGCAGCAAGAATGTTGAGCTGCAACAACCTGCTGTAAAATGGAGCATATGAATAGTTGGGTGACTTTTCAACCGAGCATGGGAGTGCAGAGATTGGCTGAGATGGGTCCTGTATTTACAGAAGTCAACACTGGAACCATCTGAAGGTCTGCAGGGTTTATATTGTTCATTTTGCACAATGAGACTCGTGCTGACATCTTTCGGAGGAGAAAATCATCCAAGTACTCCACTCAAGAAATCCCTGGAAATGTAAGCAGAGCCAAAACAGGGTACAGCACCTTGGTAAAAACCCGAGATGCAGTGGAGAGGCCCAATGAAAGGGCAACAAACTAGTGGTGTTGCATGTACACAACAAAACACAAGTAAGGCTTGTGAACAGGAAATATGGGGATGTGCAGATATGCATTCTTGATGACCACCAAGGCTTGTAAATCACCTGGGTGAAGGCAGGCGATGACTGATCAGGTAGATTCCATATGGAACTATGGACACACAGGAACCCGTCGAGAATCGGGTGAATCCTCCCCTTTGCTCTGGTGGCAGTGAAAAGGTTGGAATAGAACCCCTTCAATTTTTTTGGCTGTTGGAGGAGCCTGGGGGCAAGCCTCCTTCCTACTGACTATGGACCTAGAACTATGGAGACCCCCCTCAGACCTCTTAGGGTTACAAGTGTTGTGGAAATTTTATTAGGATGTGTTTTTAGTGTGTTGTAATATTTTGTCATTATGTCTCTCCGTGTCAGGGTTTGCTGCGTCACGCCCAATTGGAGCGTGACCCGGTTTAAATCCCCACTAAGAGTAAACCATTGGAGTAGATATCTTATGCGTGGCGGAGCAGTGTCTTCTTGGCAAATGTATGGACGCCAGCTAGGGCCCCTGCGCGGTGCGCGGATTTATTGGTTTGGCGTGTATACAACTTGCTTTGAGGACATACAGGTGAAACTCGAATAATTAGAATATCGTGCAAAAGTAATACGCTAAAAAAATAAACAAATACCTGTGCTGGTTTTTAGAATGGAAGCAGCAAGCAAGCAACACCTAGCTCATGTGTCCTAACTCTACATGACTCTACAGAGGTACTTCCAGTCCTTGCACAAAAGAGCGTAATACAACTGTGCTTTTAAGCACGGGGGAAATTCTTTGTGTTTGACATACTCTAACCAAGCGAATTTCCATAACACAAGGAATTATTAACCCTGATTTTTGTGTGGAGTTTATATGCTGCATCTTTCCTATTGCCCATTAAAGGTGCAGGGCGTAAATCAAGGAACACAAAAAGGATTAACTCTGCACTGAGACTCCCAAAATGAATGTGTTATAGTTTATTTGTCCCTTTGTTCTATTGTGTTCATGATGGGATTAAGATAGCTGATTCTAGGAGTAGCTGACTCCTGGTCTAGATGAGTAGATCACCCTACGATACACTCAGGAGCTAATCCCTTCACATGTGTCCCCTGTTCTCCCTATTCATTCATTAAGGCATCGGGGAGGGGATGTCTGTTTGCATGCTGTTCATGTTTGATTACGTTATGCTTTTAGACTTCCAGAACTGTATATATACTGAGCCGGTTTTCAATAAAGCAGTTCTTGGTTTCCACTTCAACATTGGTGTTGTCTGATGATTGAGGAGGTTAGTGTTCTGGCCTAATATATTGGTTCTGTGCAATAATTAGACAGGTTTGGGCTGAGGACACTGGAATTCAGGTTCCAGCGGAGAAGAAGCTGATTTCTGACGGAGGTACCCAGTCGGGGTACCATGCGGTCCGTCACAATTGGTGGCAAGCGGTGTGATCTGCTTCCTCCCTAAGGAGCAGTCCAAACCACCAACGGGATCCATTTCTCAGCCGGCTGAGGAGAACTGACTCAAGCAGCCATCACCCTGGCAGTGGAGTACTCCAAATGGTTGCGGATCATCTGTCCAAAGGGAGAAAAGGGTCTGTCTACGGAAGACTACTTCACCCTCAGGCAGGCGGCACGGACAGCTCTATGGAATATTACTGAGACACACCGGGGCCGGTTTCATCCATTTCCACAACAAAGGGTCTGGGATCAGATGGGCCTGTGAATGGCTATCCTGGGAGAGCAGCCTCAGGAGCATTGGGTGGCTGATTTGCACAAGTTGATTCAGCGGGAGGTAAAGCTGGATGAATGGTATCGGGCCCTGCATTGGTATGCAGAACAAACTCAGCCAGGATTTACAGCTGAATATCCAGAGGACTACAACGTTGATGACCCTGGACTGTTGTGGGACACCCTGGTGGATTTGGTTTAGTTTGGGGATGATGGGGACTCTACCCTGGAGGACCTTTTTGCATACCGGGAAGACTTGCTTGGTTTGGAGGGGGTTCCAGAGCTGATTTGGAGTATGTGGTGAAACAAGAATGGCTACTGGGAAAGGAATACAAGGAGCTGCTGAGACACGCCCAGCAGAATATCTCAGACCCAGTGGAAACCACCAGCCCAGAGAGTGTGGATTTAATTGACTTTTCTGTGGAGATTGTACAGCTTGATGAGTCCCCAGGTGAGGCGCTGGCATCAGGGCAGAGTGCCACGAGCCTCTGCACATCAAACTGGTACACCCACGAAGTTCCAGGGAGAGGAGGCAGATGGCCTCTCTCCCCAGCAGCATTGTGAGTTAAAGGAAGAAGAGGTAGCTGATCTCTCTCCCCAGCGGCAGATGGAGTTCCAGGGAGAAGAGGTAGCCGACCTCTCTCCCCAGCAGTATTGTGAGTTCCAGGGAGAAGAGGTAGCCGACCTCTCTCCCCAGCAGCCTTGTGAGTTCCAGGGAGAGGAGGTAGCTGACCTCTCTCCCAAGCGGCAGATGGAGTTCCAGGGAGAGGAGGCAGCCGACCTCTCTCCCCAGCAGCGGATACTTATTCCCAGTGGCAGTCTTTGCTCCAGGGAGGGGAGGCAGCTAGCCTCACTCCCCAGCGGCAGGCCAAGGTGCAGGGAAATGTAGGGGCCCTCAACACCCCCCAGCGGCAGTTTGTTTACAGGAAATCAGATGCCGGACATGTGAATTTGTCTTGTCCGACTAACACAGGTCCAGACCAGTTGGGGTCTAGTACCTGGTTAGTCTACTGTTGGGAGGGGAGAAATGTGACGGACTGAACCGTCACTGGGGCTGTTGGAGGAGCCTGGGGGCTAGTCTCCTTCCTACTGACTATGGACCTAGAACTATGGAGACCCCCCTCAGACCTCTTGGGGTTGCAAGGAACTATTAACCCTGATTTGTGTGTGGAGTTTATATGCTGCATCTTTCCTATTGCCCTTTAAAGGTGCAGGGTGTTAATCAAGGAACACAAAAAGGGTTAACTCTGCACTGAGACTCCCAAAATGAATGTGTTATAGTTTATTTGTCCCTTTGTTCTATTGTGTTGATGGGATTAAGATAGCGGATGCTAGGAGTAGCTGACTCCTGGTCTAGATGAGTAGATCACCCTATGATACACTCAGGAGTTAATCCCATCACATGTGTCCCCTGTTCTCCCTATTCATTCATTAACGCATCGGGGAGGGGATGTCTGTTTGCATGCTGTTCATGTTTGATTAAGTTATGTTTTTAGACTTCCAGAACTGTATATATACTGAGCCGGTTTTCAATAAAGCAGTTCTTGGTTTCCACTTCAACATTGGTGTTGTCTGATGATTGAGGAGGTTAGCGTTCTGTCCTAATATATTGGTTCTGTCCAATAATTAGGCAGGTTTGGGCTGAAGACACTGGAATTCAGGTTCCAGCTGAGAGGAAGCTGATTTCTGACGGAGGTACCCAGTCGGGGTACCAGGCGGTCCGTCACAGGGCACTCCTCATTGAGAAGATGGCTTGTTTCCTGTATTTTGCGGGCTTGGAGAACCAGGACTTATGATGGAACTGTGTACCCAGCTTGGGCTCGGAACCTTGAGATTAACAAAATAAACTTTTCTTAAAGGAGAGAGCAGAAGATTTTATTACTGGGGGTTTGAACTTCTTCTGGTAAGAATGTACTCTTCCACCCCATGACTTCTTTGATGTACGTATTTAAGGTTTCCCTGAAAAGGCATTACCAAGCAAAGAGTTTGCACCCCAGGTGGTTTTTGCATGGAAACTGTGGGCCAGCATTTAAACCATAGGATCTATTGCATGTGAACAGAAAGGAGACTCATTCTGGGGATTTATTAGAGGGTATCGGCCAGTTCATCAACACAATAGCGCAGAGCTACAGGAAAAAGTTATAGCTGTTTGAAAAAGGCAGGGTCTGACAAGATGGACCCAGGGTCTCTATCCATAGATTTAGACCATAGAGATATGGTCTAACACATGGCCATGGTGTTAACAGCAGGATGCAGAATCAGGCATGCAAAGGCCACAATTTTTCAGGAGTGATCCCAGTTACCATATAACACTGGCTGTGTACAGGAAAGGTTTGGACATTTTTAAAGAACGCAGAATAACAGTATTAGTAAGGACCTCTTAAACACAGAACTGCTACTCAAAAGGCAAGATTTGCAGCTTACCTCATAAGAATATCCCTAAAAGCATATCACTGTCATTTCCTCATAAAAGCACCTGATTATAAATTGACTATTTTCCAGGAATGCACAAGAGGGAGAAAACAAAAAGGCACAAACACTGTAAATTATAACATGGAAAATATTCAGGGCTGAGACACTTCTCTAATACACAAGAGATTTTTAAAATTTATTGTGTACTCACTTGACATATCTAAGACTGGGACATTCCTCTATGATTCGTGCTACATGCCGAGCTCCAAAATCAGTGATGAGATTTTTGTACAAACTACAAGAGAAAAAAAAGAAAGTTACTCAGCATGTACAGTACTGTGCAAAAGGTTTAGGCAGGTGTGAAAAAGTGCTGTAAAGTAAGAATGCTTTCAGAAATAAAAGTGTTAATAGTTTATTTTTATCAATTAACAAAATAGAAAGTAAATGAACAGAGAAATCCAAATCAATATTTGGTGTGACCACCCTTTGCCTTCAAAAGAGCATCAATTCTTCTAGGTACACTTGCACACAGTTTTTGAAGGAACTTGGCAGGTAGGTTGTTCCAAACATCTTGGAGAACTAACCACAGATCTTGTGCGAATGTAGGCTGCCTCAAATCCTCAAAATGATGTTGAGATCAGGGTTCTGTGGGGACCAAACCATCACTTTCACGTCTCCTTATTCATTGTTACACTAAAGATAGTTGTTAATGACATTGGCTGTATGTTTGGGGTTGTTGTCCTGCTTGAGAATAAATTTGGGGCCAATCACATGCCTCCTTGATGGTATGGCATGATGGATAAGTATCTGCAGACACTCATTACTGTACCATTCATCAGCCCTTCGGCGAACAAACTGCCTCCTGCTACAGCCAAATACTTAAAATTTTGACTCATCAGTCCAGAGCACCTGCTGCCATTTTTCTGCACCCAGTTCCTATGTTTTCATGCATAGTTGAGTCACTTAGCCGTCCACGTCTGAGGTATGGCTTTTTGGTCACAATTCTTCCATGAAGACCACTTCTGGCCAGACTTCTCCACACAGTATATGGGTGTAAATGGGTCCCACTGGTTTCTGCCAGTTCGGTGCTGATGGCACTTCTGGACATATTACATTGTTGAAGGGAAGTAAGCATGATGTGTATTTCATCTGCTGCATTAAGTTTCCTTGGCCGACCAGTTCGTCTACGGTCCTCTTTATTTGTGCTTCTTCAAAAGAGCTTGAACAGCACACTTGAAACCGCAGTGTGCTTTAAAAACTCTGCCTGGGAGAGACCTTGCTGATTCAGTACAACTATCTTGTGTCTTGTTGCTGTGCTCAGCCTTGCCATGGTGTGACCTGTGATATGAAACTGTCTTCCACAACCTCACCTTAGTAGCAGAGTTTGGCTATTCCTCACCCAGTTTTAAGCCTCCTACACAGCTGTTTCTGTTATAGTTAATGACTGTGTTTCCACCTACATATGAAATGGATTAACATTAGCACCTGCTTGGCATAATTGGTTAACCTTCTGTTTATTCCACAGGAAATAGAACCTAAAAGTGGAAGATAGTTATAGAAGTCTACAAGAGATCATACACCTCAAACTAGGTGGAAAAGGGAGTATGGTGATGCCAAAAGTTTATATAAAAAATACAATGTAAGCTTCTACTCATTGTGAATAGTAGCATTATCATTAAATCAGGCAAAGTGATAAAAAGCATATAAGGAGTATATCTGTGCCCACGCAGGCCTTCACATCTGGAACTGGTCGTACTCAATGCAATGAAAAGCCAAAGTGCCCCAATGCCACAGGAGACTGTAGTATATAGATCAAGCGTGATTGCAGAGACACCACAATGTCCATTAGTAGAAAATTAAACCTGGCAGACGCCTGAATAATTATTTGTAAAAACTATAATATTCAAATATACAATACAATATGTGGTGACCACACCACTTCCTCAGGTAAAGTGCAGATTTTAATATAGAAACCACAAATCCTATAGTCAATACAAAGCAGAAGTGCTTACATTGATTTCTGTCCATATGCTACTGTTATATGTCACAACTCCTTTAGGAACCCAGTTCTCATGGATTTTTAAGAATATGTCAAGACTGACAAAAAAATAAAATGTCATAAATCTCTGCAAAACATGCACTTTGCTCCATGTCTTATTCCTTTAGTTATGCTACAAGTACAGAACAATAGCCGTTTATGTGACAGAAATATACTACGCTCCCAACTTCCTCTTTGGCATGACAACACAGTGCATTTTCAGCTCTAAATTCCAAGACACATGTCAGCCCTGCTTACTTCATGTTAGATGGATTACAAAGAACAGGGACCTCTCCTTATGCGCTCACTTCTCATCTCCATAACCTCTCCTTGTGGACAGGCAGAGAGCACAGGAGGTTATCAGCTTGCAAGGTATCTGGCAAAAATCAACAGGTATGTTCTGGACTTACCGGTCTAAAAAAACACTTTCAATGGTATATTTAGTAGGCCAAAAGATGCAAAAGAGAGAAGCGTATTGTTTGGGTATACAAACACTTTAAAGCAGAAGCTTCAGTGTGCAGCATACTGCAGATTTCTTTCCTCACTTATGTCACATTTTCTATTGTACTATAGTTGGACTAGTCTTGAAACAAAAACATTTGCTGGAAGGTAGGCTTTTACTGCAAAAAAGACTATGTATTTCTCCACTGCAACACTGTCTGTCAGCAATGTTTCTTCTGAATGTTCTTTGGGCTGCACAGGTGTCCATTATTGGCATGGTGTCGGGACGAATTAGCTCCCATGCACATGAAAGGAAGTTATGTCACCCCAGTCCAGCCAATCAAGATTACTGAATATGCTAAACCAGGAAGACCATACGAAGATGACAGCAGCAGCAACTAGGGAGATTGCGACTATTACTGAAAGGACAAAACACAAAAAGTCCCCAGCACACCTGTCAGCTAGCCTGCAACAAAACAAATTACCCTGTCTAACAGTATGCGTTAAAAGCAGAGGTTTTAGGAAGCTTTGATGAGTCACACTGACAGGAAGTGTACCTTCTGCAATGCCATTCTATGAAAACTCAGATGCACAGTGGAGAAATAAGGGGGAGAACATTATAGAACAGCAGTTTTCCACTTAGCACAAGAGGCAGGAGCAGAGGGGACAAAGAGGTGAGGCTGGAGTTCTACCCAGTGGAGTGTCTAGTTGAAAACCAGCACCTTAGATGCAAACACCATAAATGTAATGTTGTTTTGTCAGTTTAGTGCAAAATCTTTGCTAGTTTCACTAACACTTTGCAAAATGTGCCAAATAAGACTAGATATAGATAATGGAAACATGAATACTGTATTGCATTACCTGCATTCTCAAAGTGTTTGCAAGCATTAAATCATGAACTAAAGTTGTGCAAGTATGATGAAATCCTGGGCTGTGATTGATCTTTCAATGTCACTTTCCCAAATGCTTAATAATTGCACAGCATCTTGGCATGATAAATCAATATTAATAATACCATGATTCCACTTACCCAAGAAATCGAATGATCTTATGCTTGGTTAGTTCTTCAGCTAATACTTTTACACCCTCATCACCAATCTGATTGACGCTAAGCCTGTGACAGAAACAAAAAGAGAGTTAATAAAAAGGTGCATGTTCTTCAAAACTCATCGAGGGGAATTGATCAAATCTGGAGCAGACAAACTCTGGAGCGGCTGTGTATGGCAACCAATCAGTTTTTATTTTTCATTTTCAAAGCTTAACTGAACAAACTGGAGAGAAGCTGATTGGTTACCATGGGCAACGGCAAAATAGTATAATTAAAAATACAGTTTTAATAAAATGATTCAACCCCCATTGCAAATCAGGTTTATTGGCAAAATGTACAGACTTGCAATGAACAAATCAAACAAAAGCAATTGAAATAGGTTGCCAATACAACACGTTTCAAGTTGTTTCCCCAAATTTAACTGAAAATGCAACTTTTAATGACTTCTGCAAGCTCAAAATGATTCAACACCCTGAACAGAATCCCTCACAAGAGCACACATCAGCAAAACAGGTGCTGTCCTAAGCACACCTAATGCAACTAATCAAGGGCTTCATTAGGTGCACCAGATGTGCTTGAGCTAGAACACATCAAATACCTGAACTGGCTAGGGGTTTGTTAAGTGTCAAGTTTGACTGCATGTCAGAAATAAGTCAAAAGAATGGCCAAAAAAGTTAAGATAAGAAATCATTGCCCTTCACAAACAAGGAACAGGATACAAAAAGATAGGGAAGGCACTGAATGTTCCTAGAGACACAGTTGGAAGCCTTAGTTCGCAAGTTCAAAGTTAAAGGAACAGTGGTTACACTACCTTGACTGGGCAGAAAAGGAAGCTATCAACGGCTGCAACCAGATTTCTGAGAAGGCAGGTTGAGAAAAACCCTCCAGTGACTGCAAAAGACCTGCAGCAAGACTTGGTGGCAGCCAGGGGCGGACTGACCATTCGGGCAGTCGGGCACGGAAGTGGCAACAGACGCTGAAGTTTCAGTTGGCACAGTAAGGCGCGTACTAAATGCAGAAGGTTTTCATGCTAGAGCTCCAAGAAATACACCACACACAAGTTTTGTAATTCTGTTCTGTGGAGCAATTAAACAAATCTGGAACTTTTCAGCCCTATGGATCAGCTGCATTTCTGGAGGAAGAATAATAAAGCATACGCTGAAAAGAACACCTACAGTTAAGCATGGTTGTGGCTCGGTGATGCTCTGGGGCTGCTCTGCATCCTCTGGCACTATAAACCTGCAGCATGTGGAACGTAAGATGGACTCATTGAAGTATCAGGAAATTCTCGGAGAAAACGTCATGCCGTCTGTGAGAAAGCTGAAGTCATTGGACCTTCCAACAGGGCAACGATCCCAAGCATACCTCAAATTCCACCAAGTCTTGGTTGCATTAGAAGTCCTGGAAAATTCTACAGTGGCCATCACAGTCACCTGACTTGATTCCCATAGAAAATTTCTGGGGGGATTTGAAGAAGGCGGTTGCAGCACGCAAACCAAAGAATATCAGTGAATATCAGGAGTGGCCACTGATTATGAGGAATGGGCTAAGATTACTCAGCAATGCTGCCAGAAGCTAGTGTTTGGCTATGCCTCCCGTTTGCAGCAGCTCATACCAGCAAAAGGATGCTCTACTAAGTACTAAAGATGCTTGCCATGAAGAGGTTGAATAATTTTGAGACTGCAGAAGTCATTAAAAGGGGAATTTGCAGTTACATTTGTGGAAACCAATCGAAACATTGGTTGTCTTAACATATTTCAATTGCTTTTGTTAGATTTGTTCATTGCAAAAAGCTGAAAGTCTGTAAATATTGCCAATAAACCTGATTTGCAATTGAGATTGAATAATTTTGATTGCAACTGTACAGTATACCATATATGGCGTAACTTTACTTATTCTACAAAATCATTTGTACTTGACCCTGCAGATGATAGAATTCCAATCATCATATACAGGTGAAACTTGAATAATTAGAATATCGTGCAAAGTTCATTTATTTCTCTAATGCAACTTAAAAGGTGAAACTAATATATGAGATAGACTCATTACATGCAAAGCAAGATAATTCAAGCCGTGATTTGTCATAATTGTGATGATTATGGCTTACAGCTCATGAAAACCCCAAGAACCCCAATCCACAACCTCAAAAAAGTACATTATTACATGCAATCAATAAAACAAGGATTGTACATAGAACAATATCGGACCTCTGAAAAGTACAAGCATGCATATGTACTCAGTACTTGGTTTGGGCCCCTTTTGCAGCACTTACTGCCATTACTTTTGCACGATATTCTAATTATTCGAGTTTCACCTGTATAGCTGTTATATTTATGGCACCTGATGAAACCCATGTAAGGTGAGGAGGACAGGATTGATTTCTGTTCATCATTCGGCCATCTTATTTCTAGAATTGCAATAACTCCTGAGTAAGTAAATGCCAGTGGGGTCACAGGCAGTGACATCAGCTTAGTATCCAAAGCAATTTTTCATTAGTTTTGGATAGAGTGGTGAGGGGTTACAATCTCTACCAGACTTTTATTGCTGTGTGTCCCCGCTAGTTAAGTGACCAGTGTGACCACTGTGACCACTGTTAAGTGAACACAAATCCAAATTTTCAGTTGTCACTTAAATAGGAACCCAGTGAAAATCATGCATTGGGGCACCTGTCTAAAGGGATTTGAAAATATTTTCTCTTACTTTCTATTGTGTCTACAGAAAATGAAGTGAAAGGAAATCTTCCCAATGGAACACAAAAGGAACAATATATATATTACATAAGATTAAGAGATGACCATACATGTACTCACAGTAACCCATCAAAAATATCTTGCCGGGCCCCGCCTCCTCTTCTGACGGGCGCCGCCTGCTCTTAGGTCGCTGACCAGTGATGTAAGAGGAGGTGGGGTTGCTCTTAGGCGGGCCCCGCCTCCTCTTTCACTGCGAACGCTGGCCTCTTCTGCCGCAGCTGCTGGCTGTCACTGACACTGCTCCGCAGCAGCTGTGAGGGGGAATCAGTGATCTTCACAGCCGCTGCTGAGCTGTGTCAGTGACAGCCAGCACTCTTACATGCCATAGCGACCCACACGGCATCAGAGGGATGCCCTGGCCGGGTCCCCCTGTGCCCGGGCCCCATAGCGGCCGCCTGGGTCGCTATGGCGATTGTTACGCCACTGGTTCTAACACTCCCTTACTCTATGACAACTGTTTTCGGTTTGTACCAAAGGATATTTTATCAGAATATGACCTCTGGTTACATTTGTCCTACTAAATAATATGCCACTTGCAACACAATCATTTTTTCTGCAGCAAGGTGATCTGCACAAAGGAAATCCATCACTTAAAATCTGCACCAGGGACGTGCGGTCAGGGAGGCAAGTGAGACAGAGCCTTACCTAGTATTATGGAGGAAAAAGCTGTCAGCTTCAAGTCTGAAGCCGACAGCTTTTACTGCATTCAGACCGGCTTCTATCAGGTTACACAGCAGGGAAAGGCTCTCTGCTGTGTAACCTGTCATGCATGGAGCGCTGCCTGTTAATTACAAGCGGTGCTGTATCCGACTTTTGACAGCTAGGTTAGGTTACACAGCAGTGGGCTTCCCCACTGCTTGTGTAACGAACATAGTGAGGCAAGAGGTGCAACAGCCTCTAGTTGCTGTTAGAGGCTTAAGCTCTGTGGATGGCTTGGACCAATGGCAATGCGCAATTGGTCCAAGCTGTCCAATCAAAAAAAAGAAAGAAAAAAAACAGTTTGGACATCGATCTTGATGCCTCACCGATGACGAGCATGATGAGGGACACGGAGGTTCTTCCCTCCCTCACCCCTTCCTCCTCCACACAGCTCGGTAACCGGTTTGGGGGCAGGGCGGAGGCAGGCAGGGGGAAATGCCTCACAGAGAACGGACTCCACTGCACGTCATTGATCTGCACATAGTCCTTTTTTCTTTTAACTCCAGGCTTGAAAAAGAGCCATTGTGGCTTGAATGTTGTTTTCTACATTGTAGACTAGGGTGCCTTGAGATTTTGCAAACTTTTAAAAGGGTGCTGTGACTGGAAAAAGGTTGAGACACACTGGCCTAGACGGAAAAAAAAACACAACACTTACAAGGTGCCAGTGGTTTACCTTCTGGGCTTCTATAGTTTAAAGTGACACTAAACTCAGGAGTTAAATATTAAAAATGCATTCAAGTACCTGAACTATTAACAAAAATGTATCTTATTGAACATCTCTGAATTGGTGCTGACACTGTCCTTCCTACTAGAGGGTGGCTACTTTTGTTCCCCTTGATCCTTGTGTGTGGTAAAGTAGGCACCGCTCCAAACTCGCTCCCATAATGGATTACATCTCACATTTAGTTTACTAATTTGTATTGAAATTGTAGTCTTTCATAGGAATGAGCTTGGACTGATAATGCACAAATAATGTACAATATTGTTAATAGTTAGGGTACTTGAATGCATTTTTAAGGTTTAACTCCTGAGTTTAGAGTCACTTAAAAAAAAACAAAAAAAAACAAAACATGCATACACAAAAAAAATTAGTTTTGGATACAGTGGTGAGGGGTTACAATCTCTACCAGACTTTTATTGCTGTGTGTCCCCGCTAGTTAAGTGACCAGTGTGACCACTGTGACCACTGTTAAGTGAACACAAATCCAAATTTTCAGTTGTCACTTAAATAGGAACCCAGTGAAAATCATGCATTGGGGCACCTGTCTAAAGGGATTTGAAAATATTTTCTCTTACTTTCTATTGTGTCTACAGAAAATGAAGTGAAAGGAAATCTTCCCAATGGAACACAAAAGGAACAATATATATATTACATAAGATTAAGAGATGACCATACATGTACTCACAGTAACCCATCAAAAATATCTTGCCGGGCCCCGCCTCCTCTTCTGACGGGCGCCGCCTGCTCTTAGGTCGCTGACCAGTGATGTAAGAGGAGGTGGGGTTGCTCTTAGGCGGGCCCCGCCTCCTCTTTCACTGCGAACGCTGGCCTCTTCTGCCGCAGCTGCTGGCTGTCACTGACACTGCTCCGCAGCAGCTGTGAGGGGGAATCAGTGATCTTCACAGCCGCTGCTGAGCTGTGTCAGTGACAGCCAGCACTCTTACATGCCATAGCGACCCACACGGCATCAGAGGGATGCCCTGGCCGGGTCCCCCTGTGCCCGGGCCCCATAGCGGCCGCCTGGGTCGCTATGGCGATTGTTACGCCACTGGTTCTAACACTCCCTTACTCTATGACAACTGTTTTCGGTTTGTACCAAAGGATATTTTATCAGAATATGACCTCTGGTTACATTTGTCCTACTAAATAATATGCCACTTGCAACACAATCATTTTTTCTGCAGCAAGGTGATCTGCACAAAGGAAATCCATCACTTAAAATCTGCACCAGGGACGTGCGGTCAGGGAGGCAAGTGAGACAGAGCCTTACCTAGTATTATGGAGGAAAAAGCTGTCAGCTTCAAGTCTGAAGCCGACAGCTTTTACTGCATTCAGACCGGCTTCTATCAGGTTACACAGCAGGGAAAGGCTCTCTGCTGTGTAACCTGTCATGCATGGAGCGCTGCCTGTTAATTACAAGCGGTGCTGTATCCGACTTTTGACAGCTAGGTTAGGTTACACAGCAGTGGGCTTCCCCACTGCTTGTGTAACGAACATAGTGAGGCAAGAGGTGCAACAGCCTCTAGTTGCTGTTAGAGGCTTAAGCTCTGTGGATGGCTTGGACCAATGGCAATGCGCAATTGGTCCAAGCTGTCCAATCAAAAAAAAGAAAGAAAAAAAACAGTTTGGACATCGATCTTGATGCCTCACCGATGACGAGCATGATGAGGGACACGGAGGTTCTTCCCTCCCTCACCCCTTCCTCCTCCACACAGCTCGGTAACCGGTTTGGGGGCAGGGCGGAGGCAGGCAGGGGGAAATGCCTCACAGAGAACGGACTCCACTGCACGTCATTGATCTGCACATAGTCCTTTTTTCTTTTAACTCCAGGCTTGAAAAAGAGCCATTGTGGCTTGAATGTTGTTTTCTACATTGTAGACTAGGGTGCCTTGAGATTTTGCAAACTTTTAAAAGGGTGCTGTGACTGGAAAAAGGTTGAGACACACTGGCCTAGACGGAAAAAAAAACACAACACTTACAAGGTGCCAGTGGTTTACCTTCTGGGCTTCTATAGTTTAAAGTGACACTAAACTCAGGAGTTAAATATTAAAAATGCATTCAAGTACCTGAACTATTAACAAAAATGTATCTTATTGAACATCTCTGAATTGGTGCTGACACTGTCCTTCCTACTAGAGGGTGGCTACTTTTGTTCCCCTTGATCCTTGTGTGTGGTAAAGTAGGCACCGCTCCAAACTCGCTCCCATAATGGATTACATCTCACATTTAGTTTACTAATTTGTATTGAAATTGTAGTCTTTCATAGGAATGAGCTTGGACTGATAATGCACAAATAATGTACAATATTGTTAATAGTTAGGGTACTTGAATGCATTTTTAAGGTTTAACTCCTGAGTTTAGAGTCACTTAAAAAAAAACAAAAAAAAACAAAACATGCATACACAAAAAAAGTATTATAAAAAGAAAGCTTACCGATTATTACAGTTATTATATAGTATACCTCAGAGCCCGTTAACAATCTTTTCTAGATAAAGCTTCTTACCGAACAAGAATAAGTTTATTGAAGCATGGTATAAGCTCCTTGACTCCATAATCATTTATATTGTTATTATCCATCTCCAAAGCAATCTGTTTCTTGTAATGGTTTAACACAAAGGAGATTGCTCCACAATCTGATGAAGACGCATCACAAAAACTGAGTTTAATGTAATCTGCACATATTCCCTTGGCTGCCAGCTTCCCCACCTTCTCATTCTGTGTCTCACTTATACATCGCACCATCCAGATAAAGTGAGGAAGTGCGTGAACCTGACTGTACTCCAAATAGGGTGCTCTGGGCAGGTTTTTCAGGTGAGATTTTACACTTTTGAAAAGGTGTTGCTTAAGTGCTTTTCTCTTCACTTGTAATGCTGATGCTGGAATTAAGTTCTTTAGAAGGCTTTGTTTTGGTTTTGAAAGTAGCCCACACAGAAAAAGATTAACAAACTGGAAGTGGTCTTTATTTGTAAATGGATCAGAATGATTTTTTTCACTTCCACAAACACAGGCCAGCAGGGAAGGACGATTGTCCTCAATCTCCAAGTGTTTACAGTGATGGAAATATTTTAGAAGATCTGCAGTACTGCTTTGGTCATCAATAACAAGAAATAATGCTGTAAAAAAGGACTGTAGTGTCATATGAAAGAATTCAAATGAAGCATTGTCATCACATTCACTATAGTGTGCCACAGGTCTAAGGAAGCCCAGCTGAAGATCATGGTGAAGAATGCGTTGTGATGCAATATAATCTTGGTCAAAAACAAATAATGAATTCTCCATTCCATGGTAGGCAAGCCGCCCAATAGACAACAAAGTGTCCTTCCCACCTTTAAAAGTTTCCAGTTGGCTTGCTGTTTTTCCTTTAGTGGATACATTCAAGTAAACTTCAATAATGAGTAAAAAGATGTCCGTAAGTGTCACGGAACTGCTTGCAAACTCATGATCCTCATTCATGGAATGAAAGTGCTGATAAGACTTGAATATTATCCAGCAAAATAAAGGGATTGAACATAAACTGCTGAAATTGTGGTTGGCCTGCAAATGGTTTAACACACACTGCTGAACATTGGGTTCCTTAAAAAATAAGCCAGTGTACTCAACAAGGTTATCTGCCGAAAAGCCACGCAACATTACTTTTTTACGGACAAAGTTTGCAGATATTTGACATCCCGTGCGCGCTGTGAGGACTTTCTTTGATCCTTTTAACAACTTGCCACTAAGCAAGTGCAAGAGTAATGCAGCAGGTTGGGTAGCATCAATGGGTGATGAAACTTCAGGGACACTGTTTATGTCAAAACTTGAATGTATCTCATCGAAGCCATCAAAGGTGAACAATACAGTCTCTGGAAACTTACAAATATACCGATACACTTCATCTGGATCATAGTCTGGCCTGCAACAATATTTGAAGATCAAGTCCTTTAAACACAACTCAGTGCTGGATTTAAAAAAGATAAATGTTCGACATCGAAACCTAAAAAAGAATTTAATATTGCCAAAAGATTGTCCTTTGGCCCACATGTTTTGCATTTTCTGTATCAAAAGAGTCTTTCCCATACCAGCATCACCAAAGATGAAAACAGTTTCACCAAGTTCATTGATCACCCCAGTGTCATCGAACAATGAATTTAAGCCTTGTGCATGGCCCATAGTTTCATTCTTTGCACTTATTAGTTCCATGACTCCGTCAACATATGTTTCCTGAAGCATCATCTCCTCTTTCTGAGTGTAGGACTTTATGAACTTTGAGTCACTGCACAATTCCTGTTTGAGTTTTCTGCTGAACAGTGATACTGTAAAAAAAGAAAAACGTAATGACTAAAGCAAGTACTTGATAATTGTTACAACTGATATCATTTGCACAACCATGTTTGTCATCTTTATTTTTAACTGACTGTCTACTGCAATAGAAAAGTTCTTATACTCTAGTCTACTGCTGCGGCTTTCATAAGACTCTATGGCATTCAACACATCTGGTTTTGGATGCCTGTGTCCCCCACTGTGTGCTGTGGTTCCATCCTCTGATTCCTACATTACTGCAGCCCACAGCAGGGGACACAGGTATCGACACTCCTACAAGTGTGGGATACCAAAGAGACTGAGTGAGACTACAATGATGAAATTGAGGAAAGGTAGTAGACAAAAGCAGACAGGTGATTGAGATCTTCTTTTGAGGAAGACTGTCAGTGCAATTTTTTTTTTAAGCAACTTGAAATATAAACCCTTTTGCAAAATACATAAAAAGAAAATTAAGCTTTACAATCTACTCAACCTAAAGAAGATTTACCATTTTATGGGGAGTAAAATAGGTTTGGTATCAGCCAGTCTCCACTATTGTCCTACACTCTAGCAGGGCGATCACCCTGTATGGCCATAAGTTCTTAATCATGAGAATGCAATTAGGATGGTTACAGCAACAACTTGGCTGAAAAGTTCTGGGGAAGGTCCATTTTGACATTACCTTAGGTTCCACAATCCATATAAGTATCCTATATTTTAAAGTGTTGTTTTGCAGGTACAGTAAACTCCCTGTTATCCAGAACTCAAGCAACTGGCACGCTCAAGCAACCGGCAAAAAAATCAAGGATATACTGTAATATGAATGTGTGGTGGGAGAAATAGCCAGCCTGCTATTAGCTATTGCAATAGCCAATAGCAGGCTGGCTATTGCACCCTCCCACTGTCTGCTGTCAATCAGCAGAGGAGCGGACCTACAAGAGAACTTTCTCAATCAGGTCTGCACCGCTGCAAGAAGCCGCGGGGCAGAGGAGTTTATACATATTTTTATTAGTAACTCTCAAGCAACCGGAAACTACATATATCCAGCATCTACCAATTCTCATGGGTGCTGGAAAAAGGGGAGTTTACTGTATAACCATTAACGTTATGGTGAGCAGGGAATAAAAAATCAAAAAGCCCTCCAACCAAATCAGTACATAGCATAGTAGAACCATTTTGGAACATATGGTAGTCACACGTCTTATCATATACCAAAATCAAAAAATGATTCCTCATTTCAGGACACTGGGCATGCAAATCAATCCTTTTTGCCCATTGGGCAAAGTGCAAATCGAGAACTGCTGGTGCATGGTGCAAATGCAGTCTAATATTAGACCCATTTATTACAAACTGCATACAGCTGTTTCAGGCTTTTTGCTCATCATCAGTGCAGTGTATGGAAATTATGACTTCTAACAAGTAGGACTTGGGACCCAAGGAGCGAGAATAACTGTATAGGTTATAAGGTGTTTTAACGTTATATTACCAACAAATTAGGATGTATTATGTATATGTGCAAATGTTAAAATCAGACTGCAGCTGCTAAAGTATAAAGATGACTTAAAGTAGTATTGAACTCTTTACTTTTTTTTCAATAAATTAATCCAGAACAAATAAATAAACTTTGCCCAGCAATGGATTTTTTAAAATTTTTGCCCAAGCACTTAGTCATTATGTTTCTAAACAGCTGGCTCCTACTTTCTCAACTCAGCTTCCGTGAACTTCCTGTCAACTACAAGATCACAAGGGACAGCACAGTTTCCAGAAGCTGTCCATCTGCTAGCATGGAAAAGGGTTGCCCCATAGTTCTCCTTTAAAACAGGATATCAGGACCAGTGCTCATTAGACCAGCTGATTCTACAGGAAACTAAAACTTTTAAACATCAAGAGGCAGCATCCATTGGAAGTGATTTCATCAGCATCTGAAATAGCTTAAAAACCTTTTGACTTTAATATCACTTTAAATACAGACTGCCATGTCAGAAGCTGAGAAACAGTGTATGAGGTCTGACAGTTGCAGAGCAGTAGATGTCAGCCTATAGGTGACTTCTGCCTACTGTCTCAAGCTGAAGTGTTAAGACACTTTACATATTGTAAATACAGCTGAATAAAGCGGTAAATTAAAATATTTTATAAGTAAGCCTACAAATTAATAATATTAGAATACTGGTTCAGATTCTTGCATAAGCCTGGAAAAACATTCCTACCAGGGTCATTGTTCCTAATATGTAAACACTCCACTTGCTCTGAAGCTTGAAAATCAATCTCTTTTAACCAAGAGATAAGATCAAAGTAAGCCTCTGGAACCTTCTGAAGGATGTTTATGAAAAACTCGGCCGCTTCCTCCCCTTTTTTCTCCACCAGATCAAGAAGCTGACGGACCTGTAACAATGATAACAATGATAACAATGATAAAGTTTGGTATAATACTTTACTTGTTTCTGAACATTACAAGTACCCAACCAGACAAATGTGGCTCTAAGTTCTCTTTAAAAGCAAAAGACTCACCGCTCCAATTCCACCAGACAGCAGATTAATACAGACATCAGTGTGCTCCCACTTGTCAAATCTTTGCAATCAGCCACACGAAACCGAGGCCCATAAAAATCCAACTTTATTGTTGTAAATTCCATGCAAAGTTCAAAATACAAGGTATACACCACCATAGTATATCTCCCACCCCAACACCTCTCACGCATTTCACCACCTGGGCATAATCATATAGACCTCTATGATTAAGCCCAGGTGGTGAAACGCGTAAGTAGGGTTGCAGTAGGAGAAATACTATGGTGGTATACAGTATACCTTGTATTTTGAACTTTGCATGGAATTTACAATAATAAAGTTGGATTTTATGGAGCTCGGTTTCATGCGGCTGATTGGAGATCTAAGGTCTCTTTCCTACTGCTCACAGCAGCCTATAGAGCCAATGATGTATACCAATGTGAATAAAAACAGCCAGTATCGTAAAAATTTGTTTCAATAGTTTTATGTGTTTGAGGAACATTTACAAGGAAAAATTAAGACAGATCTATGTTCCAATAGAGCACATTCATAAACATGATAATAGGTTGCACCTATGATGGAAAATAATCATGTGTTGACGTTTTAATATATACACAGAAATCAAAGTAAATTCTTAGGGACTTTTCCTTTTCATATGACAATAAAGATTTTTTTTTATTATCAACACTGAAAACTATCTATGCAAGTTATTTCTTGATGTCCTGTACTGTGCTTTGGCAAAGCCCAAACATATCCTTGCGCGGGGCACCATAATCTTGTCTTCTGAGACCTATAAGGCTCCAGTCACACTAGCACTCCTGCATTTAGGTTATTTAAATGCAGGAGAAATTATATGGGAAGTAAAAAAAAACCTCGAGTTCACAGTATCTAATCTGCCTCTGGACATGCAGAATTCTATTTTCTCTGAATGCAGCTAAACACAGGTAAGCACAGAGTGTGAATGGTAACATTTAAAATCATTACATGCATTCATAGGCATTTGAAAATGTCCTGTAAAAACATATAAACCTAAGTGTGTCAATGTCAATGAGGTGTAGGAATAAAAAGTATTTTGGAACAGTAGGTGATAATCATGTCTCATGGTATCTGCATTTGTATTGATTTATATATGGATTACCAGAAAAAAGAAAGAGGGGAAAGTATAGTGTTTTGTCTCCATTTGCCTTCCTCCCCTGCAGGCTTCGGCAATTTCCCACATTAACTTTCTTTACCGATGAAACCTAGTTAAGAATACCTAATGTACATTGCATAACTAAACATCATTCATTTAACATTTTAGCCAAATGACAAAATCAACCACAAAAGACAAAATCAACCACAATGTATTTGCAAATGGCAGTTTTGTTTTCTTTTTGCTGAGCTGAGAGAAGCATGAAGAAACTATTCAACCATACATATGCAGACCCTCTCATTTAAAATGTAATCATTTTTTTCTAACAACTTGTGAGTGGGCTTTACATTTCTCAATACATTGCTAAACAGTCATCCGACATTGCATATTAGAAATGGTCCCAGCATTATATGTCCTTTTATTTTTTTTAAAAGTATACAATAGCAGTCACAAGTACTTGAGCCAGCAGTGGCAGTAGGCATTGCTAATTAATACAATGAAAAACTGCAGTTAATCTTACGGGTACACAGTATTTACAAGAGTCTTCGAGGACAGCTACCTGAGAGATGATCAGCTCCACCTTCAACAGGATACACAAAACAAAAAATGGCAAAAGCCTCTACCACCTCCCCTTGTGTCCAGTATCATGAAAGTAAGAAGCATCACCAGTGTACACGAAGGGAAAACCACAATAAGCCATCTCAATGCAACAAAATTATAAAGTAGAGACCATGGGAATCCCATGGGACCCATGAAGCTTCTGCAGTTTCTGCCCAGGAAGCAGACACTGATCTTGTGCCCTTATAAACTGAACGTATTCCTTCTTTTACCCAGTTTGCAATGGAACTTTTTGAGGCTCCTGATGGCTAAAAGCTCTCTGAAGTTGAAAGATCTACTAAACCTAGGCCCTAAACACCTTGAGCATTTAGGCCGTCTGTATGAGCCCCACATCCCCAGGCACTGGAATTCATGGTTATTTTGCATGAGAAAGTCTAAATCCAGACATGACCTTCATGAAATTTAGAGGATTCTCCCACCAAGAGAGATCCCAAGAAATTTCTTCTGTAATCAATACTGTTGATCCCAGTGAACCATGCCTCAGTTTTCACTTCTCCAGCAAAACATGTGTAGGCTTCTGGAATGCATTTGAGCTCATAACACACCTGGGAAGGCTGTCATGATAGGACCTAGAGTCTTCATGACTTGACAAAATTTCTGAGAGATCTTTAATCAATCGTACATAGTATAATATTTTGCACCACCACCATCGCTTCCATTAAGACTTTTATGAAAATTCTGCACCTGCATACTCCTTATCCTGATTAGAACAGGCCTCTCCTTCAGAGGAAGGAGCCAAATCTTCCCCTTCCTCAAATTTACTCAGCCTGTCACATGGGGCTACCTCTAGCACAGAAGTGTCTTATACGCGTGTATTCAGTATCCTAAGGCCCCATTCACACAGTGCAATCTGGGATTCCTGCAGCAGAAATCCCAGTTGCCCCGTTCAAATGCAGCTGCTCTACCCGTTTAAGCTAATGACTGGGTGACAGCAGCTGCATCTATGGGTGACAGCAGCTACATCTAGACAGTCATCTATTCCAAACCATATGTAATCGTGTTTGATGCAATTACATGCAGTTTGGAATAGATGACTGTCACTGGATGCACCTGTCCTGCGTCCAGCGACAGTGGTCTATTCCAAACCTCACGTAATCGTATTATATACGATTACATGTGGATTGCTGCTTACAGATGTGGCCGCTGTCACTGGGACATTAACTTATACAGGTACAGCGGCCGCGTCTCAACCGAGACACACGAAATTCCTGCTGCAGGAATCCATAGGTTCCTGTGGCAGGAATGCCTGATTGACCTGTGTGAATGCATATACAGTGATACCTTGGTTTATGAGCATAATTCGTTCCGGAAGCATGCTTGTAATCCAAAGCGCTTGTATATCAAAGCAAATTTCACCATAGGAAATAATGGAAATTCAGATGATTCGTTCCACAACCCAAAAATATTCATATAAAAATGATTACAATACTGTACTGTAATATAATACTGTAAAAAATATAAAGAAAAATAAACCAATTACCGGTACCTTTGTGGCTGGTGTGGGGAGGACGAGAGAGAAGGATTATTGTGTAGGAAGACTTTCACTATCACTAACGGAATCACTGCTATCTCTTGACTCAATGGAATCTTTTTCATTTTGTGAAACCTTAACAAGGAATCTATCCAATGTGACATTGCATTGTCGTTAAAGAGACTCATCGCTCGCACTGCTACAGCCTTATTCGGGTGGTGCTTTTCTACAGAAGTTTGCTCTTATTGCAAGACATTGCTTGTATATCAAGGCAAATTTTTTCAGAAATGTTTGCTTGTCTTTAAAACACTCTCAAACCAAGTTACTTGTAAACCAAGGTATTACTGTAATTGATAGTCTTTCATAATAGATGCAGCCAAAGAAATAACACACGTTTCACACATAAGATTTGTTGTAAGAATGTGAGAGCCTGATATTGCATTTAGGTTTTACTGATCTAGCCATAGTACTTGTCTTTTATAAAAAAAACACTGCGCAAAGATAACCATCATGTGTATTCAGTAACATAGGCTTACGTCAGACAGTAAAGATCTAGGAGTAGAGGAAGAGTTGGATTTTGAATATGTAGTGGTCCCTTTTACATCTGCAGTTTCCCCATCCTCATTTATATTGAGGGATGCAGAGGCGACCGCTGCTGCTCAGAAGCGTGGCCGAGCTTAAGCTTAATAAATGTCAGAAAGTCCAGGCCCTGCAGTAGACCTCTTCTTGCTTCATACACTTCCTTAAGTGCTTCCTAGGTGATTGAGAGGGGATGCCTAACTGTAAAATTTCACACTTCGGAAGAGCGTCATAAATCGGCCATAGGAAGTGAAACCGGATGCCATCCTGCCACTCATTCCATAGCTGGAAGTCACTACAGCTGGGAGGGGAGAAATCAGAAGCCCAAAGGGCAGGCCCAATACTCAGTCTCGTGGCCATCTGCTGGGATGAACATGTGGGAAACCAGCAAAGCCACCAGAAGTCCCCCCTAAAAGCAAGATCCAGCAACAAGGTGAACCCGCAGGTATGAATAAGGCATCAGTTTGTACAGCAGACACCTGACCAACCCAGGGATGGGGGGAGCGCACAATCACTGACACAGTGAATGTAACATGACAAACATGATGGTGTATGTTCCTGGATGGCTGGAAACACAATGAAATTGAGGACAAGGGGAGTGGGAGGGGTCTGTAACTGTTTTTTTGGTTGTGCTTCTTGTTGAAGGTGGAGCAGATCATCTCTTACGTAGCTGTCCTAGATGATAATTAGAGAAAATGTTATGAGCACTGTTGACAGCTTTCCTGTCCAGGGAAGACTAGATGTAGCATATCTCTTAAAAAAAAGTTGTAAGTGAAACATGGAGGCTGCTATTGCTTAGCTCCCAGTCCTAAAATAAGCCACTTGTCAAGAACCTACCTGTGCTCTGCACTGTGTCCACTTGTTGGGGCTGCTTCTTCCTGCTGAATATATTCTAATTTTCCTGCAGTCCTTTCTAGCTTTCCATCTGCTACAGACCCCTATCCTGTGTCCAGGCATGAGAAGACTCTGCCCTATTATCTGTTCCGGTGAGATGTGCACATGCACGGGCCTGGCTAAGAGCACACATCCTGATTGGTATACACGCCTCTAAAAGCTCACTAGCATCTATTATCTAGTGGCCCGTAGTAGTGTACAGTTTGCTGTCACTAGGGTGCGTGTCTGTGTCATCCGGACATCTGGTATTTTGTATCCTGTTCTTGCTTTTGCTATCCTGTTCTTGTTCGCCATCTCGAGTGTTTCTAGTTCTGCAGTCATTGCCACATTCCTGTTCTTGTATTCGTGCCTCTGTCTCAGTTTGATTTCACTCCTGGTTCCTGTCACTTCTCAGTCTTTTTAGTTCATATAGCCTGACCTTACCTGACGCATGATCTTGTTGCTATTACTACTTTTGACAAACTGGACTCCTTGGATCTGATTGTTTGGTTGACCTAACCTTGCTGGAATGCCTCCCGCAGTGAGGTTATAACGGGGGAAAAAGTTGCTCCAACATATGCGCCAAGCTAATAAAATATTTTGTGCCTGCGTTTCTACATTTGGTTCTAGCTAACTAGTTGAGGTCAGGCTTGTTCTTCTCTTTTATGTGTGTTCTCTAGTGTTGCCTCTAACCCTTGCTTTGCAACCTTGTCTCTCCTGTGCTCCACCTCACATGCCTGCCTTGTTCCTGCCCTTCCTGTGCATTGTGCCGTCTTCCCTGTCTTCTAATCACATGATCCACACACCTAGGAACTATTTCTCTTTGCACATACAGTATAGCACAACACAGCAATGTGAATGGGCCCTTAAACAGAGGCTAGGCTCCTGTGGCAGGAATGCCTGATTGACCTGTGGGAATGCATATACAGTGATACCTTGGTTTATGAGCATAATTCGTTCCGGAAGCATGCTTGTAATCCAAAGCGCTTGTATATCAAAGCAAATTTCACCATAGGAAATAATGGAAATTCAGATGATTCGTTCCACAACCCAAAAATATTCATATAAAAATGATTACAATACTGTACTGTAATATAATACTGTAAAAAATATAAAGAAAAATAAACCAATTACCGGTACCTTTGTGGCTGGTGTGGGGAGGACGAGAGAGAAGGATTATTGTGTAGGAAGACTTTCACTATCACTAACGGAATCACTGCTATCTCTTGACTCAATGGAATCTTTTTCATTTTGTGAAACCTTAACAAGGAATCTATCCAATGTGACATTGCATTGTCGTTAAAGAGACTCATCGCTCGCACTGCTACAGCCTTATTCGGGTGGTGCTTTTCTACAGAAGTTTGCTCTTATTGCAAGACATTGCTTGTATATCAAGGCAAATTTTTTCAGAAATGTTTGCTTGTCTTTAAAACACTCTCAAACCAAGTTACTTGTAAACCAAGGTATTACTGTAATTGATAGTCTTTCATAATAGATGCAGCCAAAGAAATAACACACGTTTCACACATAAGATTTGTTGTAAGAATGTGAGAGCCTGATATTGCATTTAGGTTTTACTGATCTAGCCATAGTACTTGTCTTTTATAAAAAAAACACTGCGCAAAGATAACCATCATGTGTATTCAGTAACATAGGCTTACGTCAGACAGTAAAGATCTAGGAGTAGAGGAAGAGTTGGATTTTGAATATGTAGTGGTCCCTTTTACATCTGCAGTTTCCCCATCCTCATTTATATTGAGGGATGCAGAGGCGACCGCTGCTGCTCAGAAGCGTGGCCGAGCTTAAGCTTAATAAATGTCAGAAAGTCCAGGCCCTGCAGTAGACCTCTTCTTGCTTCATACACTTCCTTAAGTGCTTCCTAGGTGATTGAGAGGGGATGCCTAACTGTAAAATTTCACACTTCGGAAGAGCGTCATAAATCGGCCATAGGAAGTGAAACCGGATGCCATCCTGCCACTCATTCCATAGCTGGAAGTCACTACAGCTGGGAGGGGAGAAATCAGAAGCCCAAAGGGCAGGCCCAATACTCAGTCTCGTGGCCATCTGCTGGGATGAACATGTGGGAAACCAGCAAAGCCACCAGAAGTCCCCCCTAAAAGCAAGATCCAGCAACAAGGTGAACCCGCAGGTATGAATAAGGCATCAGTTTGTACAGCAGACACCTGACCAACCCAGGGATGGGGGGAGCGCACAATCACTGACACAGTGAATGTAACATGACAAACATGATGGTGTATGTTCCTGGATGGCTGGAAACACAATGAAATTGAGGACAAGGGGAGTGGGAGGGGTCTGTAACTGTTTTTTTGGTTGTGCTTCTTGTTGAAGGTGGAGCAGATCATCTCTTACGTAGCTGTCCTAGATGATAATTAGAGAAAATGTTATGAGCACTGTTGACAGCTTTCCTGTCCAGGGAAGACTAGATGTAGCATATCTCTTAAAAAAAAGTTGTAAGTGAAACATGGAGGCTGCTATTGCTTAGCTCCCAGTCCTAAAATAAGCCACTTGTCAAGAACCTACCTGTGCTCTGCACTGTGTCCACTTGTTGGGGCTGCTTCTTCCTGCTGAATATATTCTAATTTTCCTGCAGTCCTTTCTAGCTTTCCATCTGCTACAGACCCCTATCCTGTGTCCAGGCATGAGAAGACTCTGCCCTATTATCTGTTCCGGTGAGATGTGCACATGCACGGGCCTGGCTAAGAGCACACATCCTGATTGGTATACACGCCTCTAAAAGCTCACTAGCATCTATTATCTAGTGGCCCGTAGTAGTGTACAGTTTGCTGTCACTAGGGTGCGTGTCTGTGTCATCCGGACATCTGGTATTTTGTATCCTGTTCTTGCTTTTGCTATCCTGTTCTTGTTCGCCATCTCGAGTGTTTCTAGTTCTGCAGTCATTGCCACATTCCTGTTCTTGTATTCGTGCCTCTGTCTCAGTTTGATTTCACTCCTGGTTCCTGTCACTTCTCAGTCTTTTTAGTTCATATAGCCTGACCTTACCTGACGCATGATCTTGTTGCTATTACTACTTTTGACAAACTGGACTCCTTGGATCTGATTGTTTGGTTGACCTAACCTTGCTGGAATGCCTCCCGCAGTGAGGTTATAACGGGGGAAAAAGTTGCTCCAACATATGCGCCAAGCTAATAAAATATTTTGTGCCTGCGTTTCTACATTTGGTTCTAGCTAACTAGTTGAGGTCAGGCTTGTTCTTCTCTTTTATGTGTGTTCTCTAGTGTTGCCTCTAACCCTTGCTTTGCAACCTTGTCTCTCCTGTGCTCCACCTCACATGCCTGCCTTGTTCCTGCCCTTCCTGTGCATTGTGCCGTCTTCCCTGTCTTCTAATCACATGATCCACACACCTAGGAACTATTTCTCTTTGCACATACAGTATAGCACAACACAGCAATGTGAATGGGCCCTTAAACAGAGGCTTCATGTGGGTTTTAAATCAGCTGTAATACATTTGACAAATTACCTTATCTGCCTGCGTTCCACACTGCAGGACAAAGTCAGCATCTTCTTCTGAAAAGTATCCATGATTTTTCAAATTTTCAAGCACGCACTTGATGTTTTTTATAGAATTAACCAAGGTTTCTCTACTTTTAGTAAGTAACTGAATACAAGACCTAGGTTGGGGTTTCTTCGTCTCCATAATTTGAAATCAAAATAACTACACGCTGACAAAACTGGATGACAGTCATTGAAGGTCTCTTGAGAAACTTCAGTCTCTGTGAAGAAATATAATAACAGGGAAGTTGCAACAATGTAAAAACACAACATTTAGACAAGAAAAAGAAAACACCCAAATGTGAATATGTATCTTTTAAAGCAGTAAAACATTTGGTACCATTTTGAAACCCAAAACTATAATATATTCACTTTGAAATACAATGCTTTTCCTCTATACTACAAGTGCATGTCAGGACAGCAGAAAGGGTAGGTCAGAGGCACATCTGCAGTCCCTGGGCATATAGCTCACTGATCATTACTAATCGCTGAATTAGATTAATGCAGAATTACATAAGTAGGCTTAGTATGATTGTTTATATCATTTAATTTAGCAAATATTTTTTTTCCATATATATACCTAACCAGTTTAAAAAAAAAAAAAAAAACCCACAACAACTAAAAAAGATAAAATTATTATACTGGTTCGGAGGTACATTTCAGGAAACAAAACAATTAAACATAAAGGCAGCATAGGCATTACCGCAGAAAAGCTTAAAGTTTATTTCCACTTTTGCAGCCAAACTGGGATAACACCTATTTAATATTTGTCTCATGTTCCCATTCACATAGCAAAAGCTAAAAAATAAAAAATGCTTCTTGCAGTTTAAATTGCTTTTACTTGGGTTATAAGGGTTAACATTTCTTCTTGCTTCTATTTCTTTGAAAATGTTAGGAGGGGCTGTGAGGGGTCTAAAGTGGCTTGCCCACTGTATGTTAATGAAGATTTTCAGATAAACTCAATCCTCAAATTTTAGTGTCTTTCTACATCTTTCTGGAAGACAGACCACTATTAAAGGGCTAAGACCTGGAATCGGCCATCTTGCCTGCTTTAAACGACTCGTCTAGAAAGGTAAGAAATGTTAAAAGTAATTTTTCCGTATGCTGTGTGAATAGGAACACATAGGAACATATAGAGGGGTTTTCTCAAATTTGACTGCAAAATTGTTTTTTGTATCGGAGTATTTGCACTAGTACGCGTAGTCATGCAAATACTCGGTATCGCCGCCGATACCGATGCTTGTATCGGTGCATCCCTAGTTCTGAGGATTCAATCATGAGATTTTTGAGCTCAACACAATAACATAAATTTATTGGTATATAGACTTAAATTAAATACTTAACTTAAGACTTAAATACAGCAAACCAACAATCTATTTAACTACAAACTACAAAGAAAATATTTAAACCTCCCAAATACACAGGCATTGGCATTGGTATCTAACAGACAAACGGTAGACATACATTTAAGTGGGGAAAGAGTATATGGATATTTACCCATTAATCGTCACATGAGGGCCCTATCCTGGTGGTCTAAAAAGACTAACTCTTCCCTTCCTGCCCCTTGACGGATATATCTCTGCTCCTCATAGGGAAGCATTGAGAGACTTTGATTGGTGGCCTCCCAATGCCCAATCTATTCAGATTGGAATTCCTGTATTGTGATTGGACGTTCCCAAATCCCCCATGCCAGAACCTCCAACCCCCCTCTATGCAAATCTATTAAGATGAGCGGGAAATTCTAGATGGGCATGTGTCCTTAGGCTAACCCCAGGCCATGATTTCATCTAAACAAGGGGGACAATCTGGTTGCTTTACTAGCGACATGGAAACCTTTGATGATATTGGCCAGAGACAAAAGAGTGTATGCAACCTATTGTGCGAATCAAGGGTCTCGGCTCCGAAGTGTTCCTGGATCTCTCTTGACCATTTACCATTAACAGGCAACACCCAATTAAATTCAAAAATCCCCATGCAATCAATTCCTCGGGACAGTATAAACACAATTTCCCAACTCTATTCAGTCACCCAACATAGAATATGTTTAATTACAAAAATAAAAATATATACATATGTCTTATGAAGATTTGACATAAACGCATAAGGTAACATGCAAAATCGCACCTACCGCGCATTCTGGTGTGGGGGGTGTGTTGCATTGCCATTCATTTGAATGGCACCCCAAATGCACCTCCTACCCACAGCTCGATCGCCCGCACCGGAACTCACGTTACCGCAATGCCGTGCATTCCAGTGCAGTGCAACTTGGGTCCCGACTTAATGACCAAAGACAAATGTGGCTCCTGAGGTTACACAGGCTGAGGACCACTGCACTAGATGCAAGGGATCCTTAAAACATCAACAGCTTAAATAGCAATAGCTCAAGAAATTCAGCCATGTCCAGCTGGGCTGTCATATCAGAGATACTGTACGTTTTAGTTCAGTTTTCTGAGCTCTAGTCCGCCTTAGGCCTCATGCACATGGTGATTGAATCTGTGGTTGGGGATTCCTGATGCAAAAACGTGTGGATTCTTTCAGCAGGAAACAGGTGTGTGTACAGATGCGGCCGCTGTGCTCGTCAAGTGATTGACGCGGTAACATCGGCTGCATCCGTCCCTGGCTGTCCACATGTAATCGTATATGGAACAATTACCTGCAGATCGGGATAGATGCTTTTCATCAGAACAGAATAGATGGGAAATCTTCCCATGGGGGCACTACTTCTGATGAATCTGCTGATCACCAAAGATTTTCCTCTCCTTGGAGGGATTTCATCTTACTTCCTGTTGTGACAAAACACTTCAAACAGGAAGTGAAGGGAAACCTCCCTAATGGGACGCAGATGGCAAAAAGAAAAAAAGCTGACAAGAGTTATAAACTTCCCTTAATCTATCCAAAACTGAAAAAGTTTTGGCTTCAGTTCTACCTTTAAAGGACATTCACACCAGATGCATTAGGGCGGTGCTGGAAGCTGAACAGAGTTGGTTAGCCACCTGAGGACTCCCGAAAAACAAAGGTTTAGGGCTAGTTCACACCAGCCCCAGTGCGTTCTGGCACGTTTTGGTGCCAGAAAGCACTGGATCGCATCCCAGCCGGCTTACTGCATTCTGGGGCAGGAGGGGGCGTGGCCCGTGCATTGAAGTCAATGGCACCACAGCCATGTCCCCTTGGCCGCATTGCGATCACCTGCAACGGAATGCATGGCACATTAATGCCTGCGTTCCGGTCCGGAGCGATCTGAAAAAATGCTGCATGCAGAAAACTTTATTCCAAACTGTTGCCAATGCTGAGTACAGGTCTGATTTAATTGTGTGATCTCTGCTGAAGTGGAGGATCAGCCGATCTAAACACTAATTATACCCTTTAGCAGAAATTATATGACTAAATTACAATGTCTTTAGACATCAGAGTAGCTACTTTCCAGGAAAGTGAGTGAGTAATCCAGCTATCACAGTGCTCTTTATTTAACCCCCCAAAAAACTGGCAACATAGGTTTGATATGAGGTCCGCATTATTTGCTCTTACTAGAAACTGTATGTATGACTGCTATAAATGGAAAGTACTTTGCCCAGAGCTTTGGTTCACTTTATAGCAGGTATAAAGTTGTGTACTTTCCTATCTCGCACTTCAAAACCACCTGAGGCTGGCAGTGGAACACATACACACACTCTCGCCCATCTTCTACAATATAGAAGGTGGGCTCTCCTTAGCAGCCATGTTGCCAGATCTGAGAATAGTCACATGAGAGCACAAAGAACATGCATAGAACTTCTAAGTCGAAATTTACAGTGGATTTTCTGGCTGTGAATAAGGGCAGGAGAGGAGCTAGTAAAGGTGACTCTGCCTGCTATAAAGGAAACCTGTTGCTATGCCTACTATTCCCAACATACAGGTTCTTTTTAACCATTAGAACAAAACTTTAATACAAAAACTAAATCAGTTAACGTTAGAAAAAAAAAACCCTAAACTCAAACCTAACCTAATCCCCAAATCTCAGCAGCATATAACTCGCCACAAATTTATACCAACCAGTGACATTTTCCCCATAAAGGCCATGCCCGTCACACTATTGCCTCACCCTGCAGAAGTGAAATTCATGACACCACAGAACAGGATACTGATGTCTGAAAAGGTCAGATAAAATATTACATGTATACACTTTTTGCCTCTTTGTGCTAAAACAGAAGCAAAATGCACGCTAGTACAAAAAACCAAAAGACAACTTCATTGCAGTTCAGACATTTCATATTCCTCTGTGTACAACTGTCACAGCAATACAGACACCAGGGCTCAACAAACCAATTTGAAAGGCCTGGTACCATCTGGCCTGCAAATTGATTTTTGAATCACTTGCTTTTTATTCTTATTTTTTTTTTTGGTGGGAAGGAAAGTATAAACTCATCCGCCCCACCTGCTTTTTTCATCCTATTCCATCTTACCCCCTCCCACCTGCTTTGTTTACCCTTACCCATCGTTACCTTTAATGTGTACACAAGAAAAGATACACACCTGCCCATGAAATCCAGAACTGTCTTGCTGTGATCCACCGATCCGCTGCCACAGTCCAGATCCAGATCCCGGTGGGGGGCAGGACTGGCCATGGTATGTCATCAAGCTGCCTTTTCTGAGTTCTGCAGTTGGCCGCCAATGATGCCAGGCTAGATCCCCCAGCCCCATTGAGTCCCAGCTCCTGCAGTGGTCGCATATTCCAGGAGGCTGGGGAAGCAGGACAAATCATTCTTGCCCAGGGTAGAATAGGGGTGGTGGTGGTGGGAGGGGCAGGGTTGGCCAAAGAAAAAAAGAAATAGGGAGCTAAAGTGGGCCTGGGCACTGAAAGTCCACTTTAAACTGTTGCATGTTTCAAGTTATTGTGACTCAATCTCAGCAGATCATTAGTGCCACCGTTACCTTGCCTGCATAAAATAGTCATATTTTGTATAGTTTCTTCTTTCATCTCTACGTATAAGGCAGAGGTAAGGTGGCATCACTCAAGAGTCCATACGGAAACCCTGTGTGACATGCACTGTCCAAATGTTGTGTTGAAAAGTGATATTCCAAGAGTCTGATCATTTCTAATGAAATGATCCTGTAGAAGAGCACCTCAAGTCCAATACTGGTCAAGCTCTTTAAAAAGCCGTCCACCAGAGGATATTTATTTTTAATCAGGTTTCATGCCAATTGCAAGAATTGTTAATTGAAAACCACTAAAGTCAATGGTGGCAGTTTGTGTGGTTGAAGACTGACTCAAAAGAAAACTGCCAAGTGTATAGTCAGCATAAAGCCAGCCATATACAGGCAGATGTGTGATAAGAAGCATACATAAAAGTTCTGATTTATTTGTTCCATAGAATAAGTGCATAGGCTATTGATTTGAGATTTTCCTGATTTGCATGAAAATTGATTCATGAAATAAAGTCCTGATGCGTGTGTCTTTATGTCCTTACGTGGCCTGGGTGTCAAGCAAAACAGTTTCCATCCCATGTGTCATAGGGCCATGAAAGGCTCACCACTAAGCCAGGAATACAGAGACAGAAAGTTCTTATGAGAAAGGTCTAATCTAAGTGTTGAATTTAAAGGGGAGCTGTTATGAGCTCCAATTGCTGATCTTACCTTCTGAACATGCCAGGCCAGCGGTTCTCAACCTGTGGGTCGCGACCCAAAAGTGGGTTGCCACCTGCCTTCTGCTGCGCTGGGTGAGAGGCTCCTCAGCCTCCTCTTAGAGCAGCAGTGTCAGTTCTCCCGCCGGCCACCAGATGCCGATGCAGCTGCCGCGGCCGGGGAGGAGCGGACAGCAGGCAAGTATCTTTTTTCTACGTTTAGCCCTGCTTCGGGCAAGCAAGTAAATGTACAGAGGGAGAGCCAGTCAAGTGATTCTGGAGGCTGTACAGCCGCCTACATGACTTGTTATTAGGCTGCTGCTCTGTCCCAAGCCCTGCCGCCCCACCCTCCATGGTTCGCCCCCCTCTGCCAGCCGCCTCTTTCCCAGCTGTGGTTTTCGGGGTCCCGTGATCTTCTAGGGGACCTGGGACCACGGCAAATTGCTTCAGGATGGAGATTGGGAAGCAGAGCAGAGAACGTCCATTCTCCGCTCTGTAGCGGAGAATAAATAAAAAAAAATAATTATAATATTTAGGGATGCACCGATACTAGTACTTCTACTCGCCCAAATCTTTCTGACCGACAGTGCCGAGGGAGAATGGAGCCCGCTTCCTTTCCAATCAGAAGCCGGGCTGCCGGTTAAGACCCACCTCCCGGCTTCCTGATTGGTCAGGAAGCCAGGCTGCCTAGCAACAAGTGAAGCCGGCTTCCTAGCCAATCAGGAAGCCGTGCTGCACCTCATGACCAGGAAGCCAGGCAGCCTCGGGAAGTGAAGCCAGTGTTCTTTCGATAGGAAGTCGGGCGGCGGGTCATGATCTGCTGCCCGGCTTCTTGATAAAAGGGGCACATAGAACCGGTATCGGTATTGGTGAGTACCCGGAAAAAAAAATATCGGTACTCGCACTCGATACCGAAAAATCGATATCGGTGCATCCCTAATAATAATTTTGAAAAAATATAATTTTACCATGGGGTGGGGGGGGGTCGCCACAACTTGGCAAATGTTACCAAGGTGTCCCAGCCCTAGAAAGGTTGAGAACCACTATGCTAGGCTGTTCTGCTGATGCTTTGGCTTCAGTCCGTCACTGACTAGTAGAAAGACGAGAACATCTGATTTTTCTCGGACTTTTATTTGCTATATGCTAGTTACAGCTATTAGCGCAGTGCTATGGTGTGGACCTGCCCCTAAAGTACACTTGACGTGAGAGAAATATTGAATCTGTTATTGCAGCCTTCTGTTGAAAATGCAAAGTACCTGGCTTCAGTTCCTTTAAGGTGACACTAAACTCAGGAGTTAAATCCTAAAAATGCTTTCAAGTACCTTCATTATTAACAAAAATGTATCTTATTTGTGTATCACTCGGCTGTAGATCCTCAAATCATCTCTGATTCCATGCCGACACTGTATTTCCTTCTGGAGGGTGACTACTTTTGTTCCCCATGGGCCCTGTGTGTGTTGTAAAGTAGCCAGCGCTCCAAGATCACTCCTGTGATGGACTATAATCTCACGTTTAGTTTACTGATTTGTATTGAGATTGTAGTCCATCACAGAAGTGAGCTTGGAATGGTGGCATGCATTATTATTATTTTTTTTTTTACGGGTTGGTACTATTGCGGTACCAAGCAGTGAATAGCAACCCAACACATCAGCACAACTAGTGTGGTGCACTGCGCTGTGCAGCCGTATCTTTGGCGAAACGCTAGAATGTGAGCCGGTTCTAAACATGGTATATTGACTGTACCTTAAATAAAAGTATAAACAAAACCATGCCTGCAAACAAGAAAGCATATTCTTACTAAGGATGTTCCCGGACTTGGTGCAAACCGAGTTCTCCCAAGCCCGCGAAAAACTGTCAGTAACAACCCCCCTCTCCCGACCCAATCAGATGCAAGTGGGGTATTCCCTGCCCTTTGCTATGCGTAGCTGTGGAGTGGTGAATGCCCCTGCCGCCACTGATTGGGAGGTAGTTGCGTCACTGACAGTTTTTGGTTCATACCAAGCCCAACCACATCACTAATTCTTACCTCTCCTGCTGACTGAGGAATAACCCTCTGAAGTCCGCTATAGAACTACAGACACTATTGTGCCTTGTAGTGATGCTGCAGTTGGCAAGAGGAACCACTGAACGTTACGGGGATCAGTAGATCAATACTTTGGAGGACAATTCCTCTCAATCAGCCTGAGAGGTAAGGAAACGTTTTCTTCTTTTGCAGGTATGGCTTTGGTCACAACTTTAATTGAAAGCTGAACTCAATGTAAGGCCACGTTCAGATGGATGGCACCCCTATAAAAAGTGATTTGTGGTGGATCAATTTCAGAGGCTGGTACACCAATGGCTGCCCAGCATTTAGGAGGTGATAATGCTGCCACCTGAATGCTGGTTTTTCTCTCATTTTTTTTGTTTTATCCCAATGGTGAAATTCTATTGTAGCACCATGGCACATCCGCATGACAACACGGTTGCAGCATGCTTGTATTCATTTCAATGGTCAGGGGGTGCTTGACCCTTGAACTGGGGGATCTCTTATTTGTTATTTTACTACTTATAACCTTGTTCTGGAGTTGGACATTTTTTACAGTACTGATGGTCTATATTACCCGTGCATCGGAGCAGGGAGGGTGGAATCCAGCCCCTCCCCTGTCACGGCAGAGAGCCGTGACAGGATCGAGAAGTGAGCGAACGCCGGTATGTGTTCGCTCACCTCCCGATCTACTGAGCCGACCTGTGACAGTCTCATTGTCACAGGTCGGCTAGAACTATGAGGTGAGTGAAAAGCACTCACCTCATAGTTCTCCTTTAAATGGTCGTTTCTCTAGGAATATACTCGCTCCTCAGTGGCCAGCCATTGCATTGTATTTTCTAAACCTGACTTGTTTGCCTTAAGGCAGGGGTTGTCAAACTTCGGCCCTCCAGCTATGGTGAAACCTCAAATCCCATCATGCATCTGTCTCTGGCAGTCATGCCTGTGGCTGTGGAAATCTTGCAATGCCTCATGGGATTTGTAATTCAACAACAGCTGGAAGGCTGGAGTTTGCCCACCCCTGTTCAAGTTGTCCATTCATAAATTCTCATAGCATATTTGTCCAGTGAAACGGCATGTACATGTGCGAGTTAACCGGCTTATGTGAGAATGGGGTAAAATCTAAAGTTCTCTTCTGGTCGAATGTTCTTCAATAGGTTCTTTCATACAGAACAGGTGTTCTGCGAATGGGCAATCCTGTCATTCATCTGCCCCTTGTCCATTCATTCTGTGAAAGGTGTTGTGTGAATGGACGAGAGGACAGGAAGGGGGGGTGGCACACTCCTTCTCAGTAGCAGCTGTGGCCTCTTCTGCTGGCAACAGTAACCAGAAGCCAGGAGAACATGATACACAAATCATCATTACAGGGACATTATTACACTGGTGCTGTATGTCCCGTAAAAAAAAGCTTTTTACTAAACCAGCTTTAGGGCCCATTCACACCAGATGCAGTGCGTTCCGACCTGATTCTAGCCAAAACGCACTGCCTTGCATTGCGGCCGGCTCCCTTTTTTGTGGGGTAAGAGGGGGCGTGGCGGGCCATTGAAGTGAAGGGCACGGTAGCCACGCCCTCCGGCCGCAATGCGATCGGCCGCACGGGATCGCAAGGCACATTATGCTTGCGGTCCAGTCCGGTGCGATCAAAATAGTGCTCGCAGCATTCTGATCGGACCAGACCGAACCGCAGGCATAATGTGGCCGAAGGGCGTGGCTACGGTGCCATTCACTTTAATGGCCCGCCACACCCCCTCCTGCTCCACAGAAAAGTGAGCCGGCCGCAATGCGAGACAGTGCGTTCTGGGTAGAATCTGGCCGGAACGCATTGCATCTGGTGTGAACAAGCCCTTAAACAAGAACGTCAGGATTTTTAACCCATGAACCCTTGCAGTGGGGCTATCCCCGCACTGCAAGGGTTAAGTGCCCATTTTGGTCTGCAGGTGAAAATAAAGAAGATACACTCACCTGATCCTCAGTCCTGCAGCAGTCAGGACTCACCTGTCTTCCCCTCTGCTCTGGCTGTGGTATGTCCCTTGGCGTCCTGAAGTCTAATAGACCTGCATTAGACGTGATGATGTCACAGGTCTTTAGGCCACCGGAGACCGGGGGAGTAGAGGCTGCAGGCAGGGGCATCCTGAGGCTGGGTGACACCCGGAGCGGTTACCGGGTGTCACCCCGCCCACTCGCTGAAACGTCATCGCACACGTGCGGCGATCTTCTGATACCTGCCGGCGACCATCTTGGTGATGGACGCCGGCAGAGGGAGGAGGGGACAGTCACCCGGCGGGATAAGGTATGCCGCCGGGTCCCCTCCTCTCTCTCCTGATACTGTCAGGCGTTTGGTCCATGACACGACTTTTCAGAGGGAGTGACACCAAAATGACTGCCAGTCATTTTGGTGTCACCCCTCCAATGGTGTCACCCGGGGGTCGCACCCCCCTTGTGACGCCATTGGCTGCATGGACCAGTGTAGCAGCCAAGTGGGATCAAGAATTAGGCGATTATATCTTCTTTATTTTCATCCCAATGACAAAACGAGCACTTAACCCTTGCAGTGCAGGAGTAGCCTTTAAAAATCTTTAAAAATCCCGGAGTTCTTTAAATAACCTGAATTCAGGAGGTCAGTGTGAATGAAGCCTGTGGTGCTGAATCATTAAAGTGCAACTGAAGCCACAACTTTTCTTTTTTTCTAGTTTAGGATAAAGTGAAGGAGGGATTACAACACCCGTCAGATTTTTATTGCTGCCTGTGTCCCGGGTTAGGAAGGTTCACCCTCTCCATTAGTCCTGATGACTGCTGTTACTAAAAGTGAAAGTAAAAGACAATCCCAAATTTTGGGCTGTCAATCACAACATAAATAGAAGAGAAATCTTCCAATGTGGACACCAGTTCAGCTGACCCATGAACCCAAAGTGAGGATTTGCCTCACTTTGGAGGGGAATACTGTGAAAAAAAGAAAATAGGCGCAGCATTGATGTTGTTGCCAATGGCAACCAATCATACTCTGATTTTATAGAAATCTTACTTTTGATTTGTCATTCCGGGTAAAAAATGAGTGTGTGTGTGCTCACTGTCTGATCTCCACTTTTATGTCATCAAACCGAAGTGAATGTGAAGAGAATAGTTCCAGAGTTCCGAATTCTTACCATCCAGCAGAGTGTGACACCGAGCATCCATCCATTGCAAAAGACTGGAGTTTCCCGAGGCAGTAAACAGACTGAGAGCTCTTCTCACTTCTCCATACACCCTCCTCGTCCGGGGCTGCTCTCCTGTGCCCAGGGCACTGCTGCTAAGTCTACACAGGAATCCCGACCTGTCAGACGACCCTCACCCGTCACAGCTTGGAACTCTTCGTCTCCGCCCACTCTGCCCGTCCCCGCCCTCTCTCTTGTCACACTAACCACGTGGGCGGGGCCGGAACACAGCCGCGGAGTTGTACTGTTGCGCATGCGCAGAACGGGCCATGTGCTGTTTTGTTACACTCCATAAATAAAACATAAAGAACGTGAATTTTTATAAAGTTTCCTCAGAGTTATTTTGGAGCTGTTTTCATGCACTACTTTAATGCACTACTTTAATTGCGCAGCGTGCTAAAATAGAAATCTAGACTTGGCGTGTCATATTCTTTTTGTCCACTAGATGGCAATAATCTATCTTCAATTTTCTCATTATAATGGTCTTTTGGCAATTTTATTTCACTTTCCTGTGTTACAGACTGCTGTTTAATATATTTTATTAAAATATGATTAATACATTTAAAAATATATATTTGTGTTTGGATTTTTTTTAGCAGTAGGAGTGATTGGCTGCCCTTTAGGCTCCATTCACATACAGCGATTGCGTTTCCCACACGGTTTTCTGTATGCAAGACTGTAGAGGACACAAACGCTATATGTGAAACAACTGCATGGATTCCGCTTGTTTGTGGCTATTACAGACATCCCAACGCTGCGGGAGTCTCCCGCTATTAGATAGCGGCTCCCAGTCACCTGGGAGAGAAACATTCTATCTAGCAGAGTAAATCTTTCCTTACAATGTGTTTTTTTTTTCCTGACACCGGGGCCGCCAGGCGCTGTCAGTCAGAGAAAAAAAAAAGAAAGAAAAAAAAACGGCATAGGAATGCATAGCTAGATTGCTATTGGCTATTTCAATTTGCAATAGCAGACTAGCTATTGCACCCGCCCACTGCTGCTGTCAATCATCAAGGGGGACCTGAAGTTCTCCATCAGGTCCTCTTCTAGTGATTGAAAGCAGCAGAGGGCGGGTGCAATAGCTAGTCTGCTATTGGATATTGCAAATTGAAATACCCATTAGCAATCTAGCTATGCATTCCTGGGTTTTTTTTATTTATTATTCTGATGGCAGCAGCTGTCAGAATAAAAAAAAGAAAACAGCAGAGAACAAAGAAGCTATTGCTTCTGATGCTATCTGCCATCATTTCAGGGGGTGCAAGGGGGGGCGCAGAGGGCAACTCCCTAACATGAGAAGGGTACCTCCCTGAAATTGCTTTCTTCAGGTTGGGATCCCTGCTATTACATAGCCACGAATGTGTGGAATCCATCGCATTATCATACTTGCACTATTTTGAGGGCTGCACGGTTTCGTACCACGTGGTCCCCACAATAGTTGGAACATTGCACATTAAAGTGCATTGTTTTTTCAGTTTGAAGCGGGTCTGTGCATATTCGTGCAGCCTAATACGCACGGTCAGCCGCTCCAGAGTGAATGGAGCCTTAACATCTGATCATTTTGTTGCGCGTTTTCCTTATTGTGACAATGCACAGGATGAAGAATAGTGTTATTTTCGATAGTGCCCATTGAAACCTGAACATTGTGTCATATGTAGCTCTAAAAGAATATGAGCGTTTTTGTCTCACTCAATTTGGTAAATTGCTGCGCAAACTGTTGCCGCTATATAAATCCTGTATAATAATAATGATATTAGTATATATGTAACATGGCTAGCAAGCATCTCCTCCTCCTAATAACAGGCTTTTTATTGGTTAAAAAAACCCCAAAACATCCTAGCTTGAAAACGCCTGAAAAAGGCACAAAAAACATGCAAAATAGTTTCATAATGGCCTGAAAAAACTTAAACTCAAATGTGAATGGGGCTGAAGGAGAAGAGGTTATGCAGTTTGGAAAGTGAATTTTCACCTTCCAAGGTGCCCCTTAGTAAATGAAGTGAACCTGTGTTTACAATGGATACCCAATCATGTGCTAGTGAAAATCCTTTTTTTTTTCAGTTCTCTTGCACATGATTGGTAAGTGAAGAACCTTTACTCCTTCAGTAAATTAGCCTCGTTATCTCTGCACTTGTTGAACTAAGGTTGCACTTAGCAGCTCTTACCTTGACATCTATGGGTCTTATTTGCTAAGGTGTACATGGTCACCACCTGACTGATATTCACTAGGCCACCTTTTAACCTTAGATTATCAATATAGACCCAGCAATCATGGTACATATCAGTACTAATGACAAAGTCACAGGAAAATTGAGCTTTCCTAAAACAGATTTCAGAGACCTAGGTCAGAGGCTAAAGAGGAGGACCTCCAAGGTGGTATTCTCCAAAATACTGCCTATCCATGAGGTGGGATGTCCATGAGCTAGAGAAATGTCAGAGAAGGGCAGCTAAATTAACCCCTTCATGACTGAGGCCTTTTAAAAAAAATTTTGTACCCCTGATATCTTCCACATTTTAAGCCTGACAATTACTTAAATCCCCCAGACATAATATATTTTCTGAAACCCAAGACCCTAAAATAGTGGCAGTTGCAAATTTTTATGTTGCACAATATTAGCGCATCTCCTTATTAAACCCCAAAATGTAGTTAAAAATGCACTTAAATGCCCCAAAACACAATAATATACCCATTTGTTGAAAAAAATATTAAAGATGAGGTTACAACAAATAAATAGATACCCAACATGCCCAGGTTAAAGATTGCGTGAGTCCCTGAAACAGGGATAAAATTCAGTACCCCAAAAAGTCCATAGACGACGCTTTAAAAGCCCCCACAGGTCATCAGTTTAGGGATACAAAAAATACTGGCCCTAGAATTATTGCTCTGACTCCGGCGTGCGCGGCGATACCCAACATGTGTAGCACGTTCGTCATTTTCATACGTAGGCACACCCGATGCGTGTTTACATGAAGACGTGCATGCTCGCGGGGGCAGGGGACTTTAAAAAAATTACATTATTTTTACATTTATTTTATTTCATGTTAATTTTAAAAGCTGTTATTTGTATTTATTTTTTACTTTACTTTAATTGCTATCACATAGGGGGGCTTACAAGCCCCCCCATGTGATAGCAGATTGGCAGTGACAGGTACTCTTTAATTGATGCTGGGGGCCCAAAAGACCCCCAGTGTCACCTTTACGCTCTCAATAAGCTATTGTAGTGCAGCTCACACTTCAATAGCTTATAGCTGGTCTTCAGGAGCCCAGCACTGACAGTTATGGGACCGGAAGTGATGCAATCTGCATCGCTCCCGGTCAATCAGAATGGGGAGGGGATTAACGAACGGAGGTTCGTCCATCTCCTCCCCAGGTTCCCGCCGACACCAAAGAAGCCGGTCTCGGGCCCGTAGGAGGGGCAACGGAGCACGGGCAGACAGTCGGCTTTACAAGTTTAAACAGAGTACTGGCGGCTTCTGTTTAAACACCCCAGATGCCTAAGTTGCTGGTCGTGAAGGAGTTAATAAGGGGGATGGTGCTTCTGAGGTATCAAGATCACCAGTAATGAAAAATGCAGCGCTTAAAATGCCAATAATATCCTCTGCTTTATAATGTAAACATCGCTCCTCATCAGATCCAATCTATGAAGACAACCAGGGCACTCCCCAGATACACTGACTCCACAGATCAACAGAGGTCAGGTCTTGCTCAGTGATGTTTATGCCTGTGTCTCCCATGGACAATAGTGGATACTCTCCCAGCAGTAGCTCCCAGTTGTCTCCAAAAGCCCTGTACCCACATAAGGGCAATCGATTTATGATTGCTCTCACCTTCCACACTTTGGATTAGCAACTTCCTCCCCGCAGTTTGTCACAATACATCTGGGTGCAATAAAACACTCCACTAGATAGCTCCATAGGCCGAACTCAGCCGGCATTCTGCTGGCACAGTGTGCTTTCAAAACTCTGGTCATCCTAAAAACATGTAAGGGTAGGCAAAGAGAGCACTTGATTGTGCAGAGCAGAAAATGTATTAAAAAGATAAAAACGAAATAAAATAAAACATTCGAAACCACAAGTATTTCAATAAAAAGAAAGAAACAAAGCAACAGTGCAGCTAAGAAAGTGCACGTACTCAGCCCAAACTGTCTGCTCTAATATCCACAAACATGTTTCGTTCCAAAGAACATCCTCAGGGCTTATGAAGAAAACACTAAATGCATCAATAAATATACTACCTGAGCTCCACCCAGGCGCCTGGAACTAAGCATTGAAATACCTTTCTAATTATATCATAAAGTTACACCAATAAAAAAAAAATATAACAACAAAAACTTCAAATGCAAAATTTTTTACAAAAACACAATAAAGGAATATTAAACATGCACAGGATACAAAGTAACAATGCATATATAGGAATTCCACTTTCCTGTGCATCTAAAGGTCACCATACATGTTATAATCCCACGCATCCCAACTTGAAAAAAAGTCATTTCAGGGAGGTGCCCTTCTCATTTCAGGGAGGTGCCCTCTGTCCCTCCACTCCCTCACCCACCATACACGGGGGGTGAATGGAGGAGAGAGCACCTCCCTGAAATGATGGCAGATAGCAAAGAATCTAATAGGAATGAATAGCTAGGTGTTAAAAGGGTATCATTCATTAGGGATTATGTATGCATGTGATGAACATAAGTGATGATTGCTTTTCTATATACATTTGTTCAGTTAAGGAATAAATGCAAGCTGACTTATAAAAGTCCATGGTTTTAGTTTTCTAGAAAGTAGTATTAGGGTTAGGGTGCACATATGGTACTCATCAATCATGCCTTCTGGTTAGAACCTCCCACATCCCTTATTATCAAGAAAGACTGTGAGATATTCTAAATCAAAGTTCATGAAGTGTTTACAAAGTACATATTATATCTCTTTACTGTAATATTTCTTGATTAAGTTATTCATATAAGAAAGAACACTGAATTATGTATAAATATTGGTACTTGTAACATTATATGGTTTATTTGAATGCATTTTAGTTTGCATTCAACACAAGAATCCTCTATGCCCATCCCCCTTCAATACTAATAGTAGCCTAAATTTCAGATTACAGTTAAGGCTAGTTGACCCAGAGAAGGAGGGGGGACTGGAGCAAAAAGGACACACATGCTGGCATTCAGACACAGACACACAGACATGAGGGACAGAGATGCTAACACTTTAAACTCTTACAAGAACTTATTTATACATCTACATATTTCTATATTTTGTTTTATGCTATTAATCTTGTAATCATTTGTAACTTTGTAATTAAACACATTTTTGAGTTTTAAGCAAGAACGGAAGCGATTTTTTCCTCTTTTGAACTTTTCACCTTAAGAACAAGAATATGAATACGACATAAAAATATGATACCAAAAATCATATTCTACACTAGGCTTCTATTGGCTATTGCAAATTGAAATAGCCAATAGAAGCCTAGCTATTCATTCCTATGCTGTTTTTCTTTTTCTTTGACTGACGCCAGCCCTGATGCAAAAAAAAAAACAGATATCACAGATATCAGGGAAAGGTTTATTCTGCTAGATAGAGCAGAATAAACCTTTCCGGGATAAAATGTTTCTCTCCCAGGTGTCCGGGAGCCGCTATCTTATAGCGGGAGACTCCTGGAACATCGAGGAGAGTTGAGATGTCTGTAATCCAGCTGCATAATCTCTGTTCAATGTTAGATCCACACAAGATAAAAGTAGTAATACATATAAACAAATACAACTATACTGTGCATCTATTGGTCTCCATACACGTTACAATGCAGCAGCACAAACTCTGTGCAATCACTGATAAATACACCAAAATCCTACAATACTAGAGCCCAACCTATCAATCCATTTGTGTTCAATCAAGCTGCTGGATGCTAAATAGTATAGGAGATTAGCGCGGACTTCTACTTGCAATCAGATTGAGTTATCAAGAATGCCTACAAAAATCAACAGGGTTATTCCCAAAAGGGTGAAGAATTTGGAGAAGGCAGGAGAATGGAACAATCTAGGACAACATAGCTGAACTGGAAAGTGACCTGAATTGGAGAATTTTTCCAAATCAACTATGTTGTCCTAGATTGTTCACTTCTCCTGCCTTCTCCAAACGCTTCACCCTTTTGTGAATAACCCTGTAAATTTGTTCTCCTTACAGAAGAGACGCTTAAGAGTTGACATGATCGCAATTTACAAATCAATGGGGACTGCTGTATTGAATGCACCACTTAAATTAAGAACTTTGAGGAAGAAGCGAGGGCACAACAAGAAGTTGGCAAGGATGCCGTATAAAATGTGCAAGGTTTTTTTTTTACTGTGAGAGTAGTAAAAATGTGGAAATCACTTCTAAAGACAGCTGTATCAGGGGATAGCATAAACAGCTTCAAAAAACACTTGGATTTGATTGACTTGGATTTTCTTAGTTTACAAAACATACAGGGTTATCGGAATTCCTAGCAATATACACACATGCACACACAAGGTTGAACCTAATGAACCTGTGTCTCTATTCAACCTCACCTATTATGTAACTATGGGGTCTATTCACTAAGCTGCCGTAGGCAGCGGAGTGAAAGACCGACCTGAAGTGAAGTGAGCCGAACGCTGTTCGGCTATTCACTTCAGGCTTGTACGGCTGATTTCAGCCGTATATCGGCTGAAATATGCTAGATCCTGCGGCTGCTTCGTGATTAGACCCCTATGTATATTAAGCTAAGATCAAGAACAAAAAAATAAAAAGAGTAAAAAAAATAAAAAGAGGATGGATCACTCGATGTACCACTTGGTCTTTTTCTGCTATCACTCTTCTATGCTTCTAGGCTACTGGAAAAAATACCAGCTCTAAGCCAATCAGAGCCCCCTAAAACAAGTGATACTTGCGTCTGTGGATACATGGCTCTCAGGGCCAATATGTAACTTCTGCCTCCAAATTGCTCTTCTTGGTTGGTGGTCCCTGTTTTCCCATAAGCCTCGCTGCTTGAGCTAACTTCTTTGATGGTGGCACCAATTCAAATGCATTTAGAAAAATCTGGCCTTATGAGAGTGTTTGCTGAAATATCATGAAGCACCTCAACACCCCTCAGCACACTCCCAGACCCTTTAACTGGGTATGTATTTTCTGTAAACACCATCTGAAGGTCAACAAAAAACTTCTGCAATTGGCAGTTGCCCCTCTCATTATACCCCTGAAATTATGCCAGAATAATTAGAGCCATTTCTGGGGGCCCTTAAGAATTGGACTTTGAATTGAATTAGACTTAGCAAAGTTAGCCTGGTCTTTGGTTCTGATGCAAAGTACCATGCAATTTGATTTGAATCCCATTTATTTTACTGTTGCTATAGTCTGTTTTGTAATATTATTGTTCTGGAAATTTTTTTCTTGTACAATTATTTCCGTTCTTTCATTCAAATGATATTCAAAATGGTTAATCTGAATCTACAAGTGCACTAACAAGAAATTAAAAACATCTTGCATTTTGTGAGAGCTAACATATTTTAAACTCTGTTACCTATAGCTACATCATATACTATGGATGGTGTTTGTTTCATTTAATCACACATGGTGACTGCAGTTAACTATTTACACTAAAATAGTAGCTGAGTTAACCACCACGGTGCTGATCACTCTCAGTGTGCTGGTGCTTAAATCATTGTCCCTCACACTGAGAAATCTTTGCGCATGGTGAGACCAAGAGTGCAATACGTCAAATTCTGATGGCAACGATGGGATAAGAGGCTGCCGCCATTACTCCTCCTCTAATCATTCAGATATGTATGTGTGAAACATGATATGCTACTATTCAGTTCAGGTCATAGGTGTTTGAGTTCTATTCACAGCATAGTAGCGAACCAACTTTGTTTGCTTTGTGAAATTAGCTTTCCACTCTTCACTTGCAGTGATAAAATGTTTAATGTTTTTATATACCTGATGGAAAAGAACCTAAAGCCCAATCCTGGGCACATTTGGCTATACAGTGCTTCCCCCACTCCCTGGAGTACCCCTGCATATATGGTATGCTTAATTTTTTCATACTTACCTTTTGCAGATGTAATTGGGTTGGCCCCATGATACATAGGGCCCTCTTCACTTCTTCTCTGGTACCAGGCAGTCCTTGATGAAGAGATTTGGGATGTCCTCATGTACAGTCTTCTTGATACATTACACTGGATGCTGTGGGGAATAGCACCAGAGAGGAGGGGATTATTGCAGTCTGAGCTTCTTTTTGAAAGCTTATTGGGTACCTTAAGCTTAAAAAATAACCTAAAGCTGGAGTTTAAAAGAAAAAAAATAGACACTTTTAATTAGCTACACCCAATTTATGGCAAGGCATGTTAGGTACTGATTTTTATAACACTTTGTCTGATATACATTGAATGCTATATTTACACACAATGGCAGGCATAGACTGCAAAGGGCTATGCGGTGGGAAAGGTCAGGCCCTTTTCAATGGACATGAATGTTACTCTTTTCATTTTTACCAAGGATTTACCAAAAGCCCTTTCTACATTCACTTAAAAACTAACAGATACTTTATGATAATTATCAATATAATGTTTCCAGAACACTCCAGATCACCACGTTAATTAAAAAATCAATTGCATGCAAGCCATGACTGAAATGTAGGTGTTTGAAGGTCATTATTAAATAGTGATAGACCTTTTTCTTTTTGCATATTATATGCACTATATTCTGATGGCAGACTGCTAATCTCTGGAGATTTGGAGTGAGATTTAGTGATTCCACTACTGTACTGCTCACTCAGGGCAGACCTTAGGGGTGTGCGAGCTGTGCGGCTGCACAGGGCGCCATGGCAACATAGGCGTCCAACACAGCTCGTCCTCTGGGCGGCTTCTCTCCTCCTCACCGCTGGCCATCCGACATGACCGCGCAGGAGGGAGCGCTGCCTGCTGTCAGGATGGCCAGGCGGTGAGTGGAGAGAAGCCACGCCCGCAGCTGTCAGGATGGCTGAGCGTGGAGGACATCAGAGCCGCTGTCATCCTGTCAGTAATCAGTAAATATCAGTGATATTTACCAGTCCTCCGTGTGAGAAGGACAAACACTGGAGCGATCGTCTGATCACTCCAGTGTTTGTAAATATCTGGGGACACATAGTACTATGTGTCCCCAGTTATGAATGAACAGGTTGTGATTTACATCACAGCCTGTTCATTCAAGATTTCCTCAATGGGGAGAAGCACTCACTACAGAGGCTCCTCCCCATTCAGAACGGCTGATAGTTAATATTTTACTATCAGTGTCTGAATGAATGGGAAGCCTCTGTACTGAGTGCTTCCCAGTCATTGAGTGCTGAGGCTGCAGAAAAAGAAATTGAGGATTTGGTGTCCTCAATTTCATAAAAAATGATTAAAAAAATAATAAAGAAATGTAAAAAATTATTTTACAAACGTGAAAACTGCCCCCCCCCACACACACATATTATTAGACATGTGCGAAGACTAAAATCTGTTTCATCAAACAAAACAAATTTTTATGCTAATTTGGATGCAGCCATTGGCGTGTTCTGGAGGCAGGGCGCATGACTTCATATAACACTGCACGTGTTGGGAGCCGCCATCTTGGTGTATATCTAGGTATACACCAAGATGGCGGCGCCTATATCGGCGTGTGACGTCACCTGAAGCCATGCATGCATGGCGTCATGTAACGTTATGCTCCCCGCCTCCAAGATGGTGCCACGCATTCACAGAACACGCCGGTGCCCAACATGGCCGCCGCACATTCTCAAACAAATTATTATGTACCTGAATACATTTTTCAAATATATTCGGGCAAATAGTAATTCATGAATTTACATGTAGTCTGTGTTTTGTGTTCTGTTTTTTATTTTTACTTTTCTAGATATACTTACTTGAAAAAAGGATCGGCATGACAACCTGGCACTTTGTTTTTATAGACTCTATTTTAATTTGACATTGCTTTATTTGATAAGAATACTTATATTGTGCCTACGAGTTTAATACCTTTGAATAAAAGTTTTATTTTTATCATACTTTTTAATATATTTTTGTTTGCGGCTTAACAAAATAGGAGTCTTTAAATTGTGCGGATATTGGGGGAAATGGGTGTGGTTACTGGGGGGTGTGGCCACTGAGTTGTGTGGTCACTGAGGGGCGCTTTAAAGCTTTCTCGCACAGGGCGCCTAAAGGCCTATGGCCGGCCATGTGCTCACTATTCTCCTTGCTAGAGAGGAAGCTGTAGATGAGACCTGCAATGCTTCCTTTTCATTCATTCTGTGGATTTTAGCTCACTCTACCTTTTCTGTTGCTTCTTGATCATTTCACCACCAGCCATCAGATCACTAGTCATCTGGGGGAGCTCTAAAATGGGAAAGCAACGCCTTAGTTCTCCAGCAAGATGGCTGCCTCTACAAATAGACACTGCACACAAAAGCATTGCAAGCCACTGATAGGGAAAAGATCAACTGCAGAAAGCCTGTGGGCAATACTGCTGAACAGTTTTTTCCCCTTTTTTGCCTTTTATGATCACATTCTTTACAATTCAGGTCTATAAATATATGTACTTACTTTAAAAAATATTTAGTACCAATCACTACTTTATTACGATGAATAAAGAAAATCCTAGAGGGACCTCAATCTTTCCTGTCTTGAACTGGTTCTCCTGTTTATTAAAAAGCACATCTAGGCTTAGTTTGGAGAGTGAGATCTCAGCATTTTCTTTGAAGCTTTCACCCATTACAGATAAATCTCCATAGAGATATACTAACTGGAGGGTTCTGCAGGATTCTAGGAAGGTTTCCATGCTTTCCTTCTTATAGTGGAAATGAAATATTATCTATCTTGCAGCAGGAGCCTGTGTTATTGCAGTAGACAGACTGAATCATACTGTATATGTCAGTTTTTATTTTGTCCATAGTTCTTCTTTAAGCTGTCCGTAAAGTAAACATTCCTCAGGAGCAATTTTACAAATATATTTTTATGTATGTATGTATGTATGTATGACATACTGTAGCATTATATCATTTTTATTTTATATTTGTAGAATGCTCTATAATTTGCTTATGAATACAGTAGCATGTTTTTATGTAAATGATGAGACTCAAGAAAAAACATGTTTGAAGTATAAATAAGTTTTCTGCATTAGGAAATAATAAAGCGCTGACAATTCACTGAATATATTCATCTGCAAATCCCAAACCTCTAATTTCCTGACAGTACTTGAATGTGTATTATCGTAAACAGAAAATACACATTAATTATGTAAAAAGTAGCTTGAAAGGAATAGCCTTTTCACAAATAAACATTGGGTTTATGTAACTGTGGAGATACTCTAGAGATATTGCTTATGATGAAAGTAATGAAGCTGAAGAAATATTAGAAGTGCAATCAATGTATTTCAGTTGTTTTGTGCAGTAGTTTAGGGCACCGTGATATGTTCAAGTATTAGAAAGACTTCAATGCAACATAATTGTAGGATGAAATTCAGAAGAATTATAATCCATCCATTGCCATCAGATTCTTTCTTTTTGTAGTTCTGTCACAGTATGCCATAAGTA